CCCCAAAAAAAAAAAAAAATCTGAGAGGAAAAAAAAAAGGGGGGGGGGGATTGTAACTGAAAGAAACACTGAACGTAAAGTAAGGAGCCCTAGACGCATACAGTTCACTAAGAGGTGTGATGCATTTATGATATTAATTCTGAAATGTGCCGATATTATCATATTATCCTGCCTGGGTAAAAATTAGGACACATACTGTCCACTGACTTTTAAATCAAATTAAATTGCCGAAATCTTTCAACATTCATTAATGGCACTCCTCAGAAAGGCGGTCCCCAGATTAAAACTAGAAAACTTTTCGTTAGACTTTCCGAACTTACCGCCGTCACTTGAGGTAAACTCAAGTCAACTGTAGCCGTAACCGTGGTGGTGGTGGTGGAGAATAAAGTTTAAACCAAACACAATGCGACAATGTCAATGATTGTGCCATTGTGAGTGGACTGGTACAATTCGACTGGTAGCCGTTTTAACACGCACAGCAATCTAAATGTACACACAACCACAACAAGTATGGGGCCCGGGTTTAGATTCCCACTGCCTTATGTTGCTACTGTGACATCGAGTTCTAGTATCCACCCCTCCTCCTCCCCCCCCCCTATATATATAGTAAAGAGGTTAATTTTGAAACGGACATCAATAACTCTTCTTCACTTGCTGATAGTGTACTCTTGAGTTCGAAAGGTCTCAAACATATCTGCTACTTTCATTGTCCTGATCTGATCTGATCTGATCATCTTATCTGGAGTTCAGAATGGAACCGATCAACACACTCAAGCATCTCCCTATACTGTTTTCTTTCACAGAGAGTTCAGCGTCTATTAATTTTTCTCCTGCAATTTTCTTCAAAAAACCTTAATCTTCTTTTACCGAAATTCCACATCGGTCTCGTTTTATGAGTACCTTTTCAATAGCACGTTACACCAAGTGGCAGCGATTCTCGTGCAGAACGAATCTTAAGACCTCTAGGTTGGTCAACACTTTGTCAAGAGTATTGCATTAAGTCTGCCGATACTGCTGTGTAAGTATTTACTTCCTCAAGTAGATCAGCCCAAAGCTAAAGGTAGCATATAAACGTGAAATCACAGACAGCGTGAAAGAGACCTTGTGCTGTACATCTTGTATCCACATTTTCAAGATGATCAATTAGAGCTTCAATAGCCGTCACACATTCATCAAAGGTATCCTTCACTGTTTTAATAGCAGCAAGATGAGCACTCCAGAGTGTTGATGACAGTCAGTTCAACGACATTCCAGTGTTTTAAATTAAAACATCCCTTCAATGAGTGGATGCAGCAAAGGTGTAAAATATTCTCTCACTAGTACCGGAAAATGTAATACATGAAGCATTTTCGGCAAAAAAGTGTCACGATAGTTACCGAACACTTTAGTCGACGTTAAATCTTGGACAAAAATGAAGTTATTCTGACCTAATCACAGGGTCACCTGATGACTCACTCATCAACCTTGAACTATTAATAAAGCCCGCATTTGGATTGGTTACATGTGATGAAAATGTACGTGTGATTGGTTATCCTTTTATGACATTCGGTTAGACCGAGCAGTGTTTTGCTCTGTATATGTGAAATTGTTCAGTTTGGTGTCACCCACTGAGACGGTGTCACTGGGAGCGGACCCACCCCTCCCGCACCCCTAGCTACGCCACTGAGATGGGGGTTTCAAACTAGTTGCGATCTACTATGGAATATGGAAAATTCCAGGCTTTCCGATCTTTTGAGTTTGTCAATTGAAAGGGATAGGGGGAAGAATTTTGATGAAGTGATTGACAGGTTTGCAGCCTTGTGATTGACAGGTTTACAGCTTTGTGATTGACAGGTTTGCAGCTTTGAAGACCAGGAAAGTAAAGTTTTAATTGTAAAGTTAAATGTTTTAACAAATGTAATTTTGTTCCATTTCTTAAACACTGTTACCTCAAACTCCATGTTTTCTTCTCATGGCTTTTGTTGCTAGAGTACTTAATTTACAAGGAATTCTGTAAGCCAGTCCTGCACAACATATGGCCCACGGACCGCATGTGGCCCGCCAACACCCTCTTGGCCCCCCGCGAAGTAACGAAATATACTTTATTATTATAATTTTCTTAATAGCCTCCCCCCCCCCCATTATCTTTCGGCCCGCACAAGTTTTTCATAACGTAATACGGCCAGCACAGGGTTTTCATAAGGTATTACGGCCCACCTTACATGTTGAGTTGTGCAGGCCTGCTGTAAGCATATTCCTTGGTACATGGTGCAGATGGGAAAAGGGAGGGGGGTGGGGTAACACCATGAGTTTACCTCACTGAGTGACACCAATTCTATATATATCCCTCTGGTTCCTCGCTTAAAGCGCAGATATGTGATACTCTGTGACTAACAGAATTTTTTTTTTTTTTTTTAAATGTATTCTAAAAGTGTATCCAGGATTTCCCTTCATGGGAGGATATCCCGGGAAGTCTTTTGTTTACCAAAAAATAGTGCAGGATCCCGTTTAAGAACCCTAGTTAGTAAGGAAGATGGGGCCCTTGTCCGGGAACTGTTAAGATGGCATTGTGTGCAAGTGTGTCTTGTATTACGTGTATGTTTCGTGATCTTTGCAAAGATACGTGATTATTTCTGGAAAATCTTTTTCGTTCCACCAAATAATTTTATAGCATTGTAATATAAAAATGTGTCATGAAATTGGTAAAATTGTTATATTCAACGATTTTGATGCATTTAAACATTTTATGTCTCAAATATCAACTATATCAAATATAAATCTTTATTTATAAGTATGTCGGTTTGTCACACAAAGCAAAGGGAAATGGTTCAGTTTAAATTTTAAAATGTTCAGTTGAATCCAGAAATTGGATAGGGCTTTAGGAATTCTTTTAAAAAGATATTTCCATTTTAAAACATGCTGTTATAAGAGTAAAAAATTATTTGTATTATTTAAATATTTCCATTATTTGTTTGTCTTCTTCTTTCTTTCATTTTTTAAAAAACAGATTAAGCATTAGTACAATGTAATAATTCATCAGGGAGAATTTTACAACGTCACCGCTTTATTATGAAGTTTAAAAAATGTCAACTTCCGTTTCTCCGACTGGGTCCAACGAAAGCTAATAAGAAAGAAACGAAGAAATGTTTTACTAGCTTAAAGAAGGGTTCTGCATAAAATTTGAAGTATTGAAAGGGAATGTTGGAAACTATGTAAAATGCCTTTGTTCCGACGTAAAACAAGTATGTTCTTTATAACACATCATGTAAATAAATATGACCAAAAAGTTGCAGTAATTCTAAAAATTAAAACAACAATGAATGGAAGGAGCCTAAGGAGGCGTTGCTCTCTCACTCTCTCTTATGAGTCTTCTTAGAAAACTCAACTCTCTTACTCTTCCGAGTCTCTTCCTTCCTTCCGAATATTTAATACATTATCATTGTTCATCTGTTTGCACCATTTTTAATGACTAATGAATGTAGTATCACACCTTAAATATTATGTTATCTAAAATCTTCTTACTTCTTTAAAACCCTTTTTAATTAAAGATTCTAAATGTAAAGTACATCCTTTTTTATTACTATAGTACTATAGTTTAGTGTACTATAAATTAATTTGATACAAATACAAATTTTGTCCACAATAAATTATACACTTACTACTAACAATACAACACTAGTACTAAAAAGTACAGCTAAGGCTAAAAAAAATGATTTTGAATGAGTTATGAACGGTAAAGAAATTTATAATCTTAGTCTTAATATAATTTTTGGTTGGTTTATCTAGATTCTAGAAAGAAACTTGGACTTGGGAACTTAGCCTACTTCTTGAATTGTGACTTTTCTTTAAATTATGTATTTTATTAAAAAGAAAATTACATACTTAGACCTTTGTATATGTTATGGATAGACCCTACAATCACTACAATGGTTATAATAATATTAAATTAATAGGTCTGCATTCAGACTAAATTTCATTAGTCATTAGTAGGCAGACCTCTGCAACCTTTTTTCACATGCAGTACACTCTAGGCCTTTCCAAGAATTCAGGATCACATAACAAGTAAAACATGCAATAATATTGCAGTGCAGAGTGCATACAGGAGATTAACATAAGCTAGTAGAGATTTTATAAATAACAGAAAAATATTTACTATTCAATAGTCTATTCCTCATGACATTTCTACATATACTCTGTGCTTTTTTCTCCTCCTGAAGGACTTTACCATGACACCTACAAGCATGTCAGTTTACTGTATGACCACAAACTGTATTAAAAAATTGCATACAATTGTAGGTGAAATTAAGTTCATATTAAGACAAGCACACACATTTTAATTTGAAATATTAATATTTATAGTGAGTCTGACTGTCATTTGCTCATCCTAGGAGTATATATGTAAATGCTCTTGAACAACATAACCTGTTTGAAAATCTGCAAACACCTTAAGATTTCATTACATATCCAACACACACCCCCTTCTCCCCCTCAATCTTGATATCAAAACATACAACACATGCAATAAAAATGTTAATAAAAATGCAAATAAGCCTATTTACTGGGTCTTGTTAAGAAACCTAGACTTTTAAGCCTCATTTTTATCAAGCAACACTTGTAACACACATTTTCCTGCTAATATTCTAAGTTTACTTTTTGTTTCTTGAGAATGTAAAGGTATGTAAGTGTATAATTAATGCTTAAAATGTATCAATTATCTTGTCATGTGATAACCTGATATTATTTTTGTCAATATCATGCTAAGGATTTTTTACCCTTGAATTGCATCTAAATGCTCCTTCTCCAGATGCTGCAAATATTTAAATTATCTCGTAATAGATTGTATTTTGGTAAAGACTTCTACTGTACGCTTAACTTTTAGACCAACTTAATAATACAAAATGTAAGGCCTCTATTATGTGGGCTCAGGGTTACAAAAGTTAAATTTTCCTAGCTCTCCTAAAGACAGACTTGATAAAACTAGGTGAATTAAACTTGATCTTGGGGAAACTAGGTGGATTAAACTAGATCTTGATAAAACTAGGTGAATTAAACTTGATCTTGGGAAACTAGGTGAATTAAACTTGATCTTGATAAAACAAGGTGAATTAAACTTGATCTTGGGAAAACTAGGTGAATTAAACTTGATCTTGGGAAAACTAGGTGAATTAAACTTGATGTTGGTAAAACAAGGTGTATTAAACTTGATCTTGGGAAACTAGGTGAATTAAACTTGATCTTGATAAAACAAGGTGAATTAAACTTGATCGTGATAAAACTAGGTGAATTAAACTTGATCTTGATAAAACTAGCTGAATTAAACTTGATCGTGGGAAAACTAGGTGAATTAAACTTGATCTTGATAAAACTAGGTGAATTAAACTTGATCTTGATAAAACTAGGTGAATTAAACTTGATCTTGGGAAAACTAGGTGAATTAAACTTCATTTTTAACTACCTTGCTGTGTTTTTGTAAATAAATAAGCAACTCTTTTGGTTTTGCCCAGGTGACAGGCAAGTAAAGTCTCCAAGTACAAGTTCAGGTTTAATCAGAACTCCGTCCAACAAGTCCAGTAAAAGTTTGCCACACTCACCATCAACACCAGACTCATGGGGGGAGGAAAGTGATATAGGTCTGCCTAATTTATTATAAACATGTTGCAGTAGTGTGAATATATGAATATTCAAAATAGCTAATTCCTAAAGATGATCAGTACTCTCATAGAAATACCATTTGACCTAATTTTGTTGTTTGAGAACCATAAAGTATTGCATTTAACAGCATTTTTATTGCCATTGTAGGATCATCATACAGTGTCTTCAATGGAAGCATACCATGGGAGCGAAGGCCAAGAACATTAATGTTGTCGGAAGAAGTGTTGAAAGATGGTGCCGGTAAAGATATTTTAGTGAATACTGTGGTGAATTTTATTTACTGTTATTATCTCCATGATAAGTCTAAAATTATATTCTCTCTAAAAATTTTATAATATTACGTTTTTTTATTAATTTTTTCCCTTTTTTCCCCACCTTGACAGATATTCCAGAAAATTCTCTTGAATCACCTATGAGAAGCACATCTCGATTATCTAAAACACTTATAGAGGTTATAAGAGACAAAGATGCACTGTCCTGCTTCAAGTCCTTCATGAAAAGCCAGAGTGCTGAGCACATCATCCAGTTTTGGTGTGAGGCTGAATCCTTCCACGTCTCAACTCTCATGCGTCTTCGAACTCAGTCGTTACAGAACATTTCCAAAAGTGCACTTCATAAACGGCGCAGTGACAGCTTTAGACATGGCAACTCTGATGCTTGCTTGGCTTCCAGCCCAGACGCAACAGTATTGTACTGTGGTTCATCAACACCCCTTGACACAGACTTGGCTGTCCATAGTATTCCTCCGCCAAGAAATACTGAACAAAATCAAAATAGATCTATTCTGGCTACACCTACAGATCTACTTAATCAAGTCCCGCCTGATGTTAAAAACTCCTTGCCAACACCAAAGCAATATTCTAACTCCCCAATCCCGGATAACACAAATCAAACCAATCACCAGTCCTTGACAGCCCCTACAAATTTAAATGTGACAGACCAGCCTAACCATACAACTTGCATGCCTTCAGACGATACTGTAACAAGTTCAAAAATCTCAGCGTCCACCATCTGTGATAAAAATGTTGTTAAGTCGTTGAGTTTTTCTGCTCATGATTCAGAAACTTTTGGCTGTGACTACAGTGAATCAACCAAGGCAGCATCACTGACCCAGCTTTCCAAAACTGTTGGCAGTGAAAATATACCCACAGAAACAGAATTCGCCACACCAGTGGAAGTGAGTCAAGAAGATATTGCCAACAAGCTAAAGAAGAGTAGGTTGTTTTTGTTTTTGGGAGGTTGGGGAGGGGTTGTGTTTGCGTCTGTTGTAAAAGGATAAAATGGAGTCATATATTTTAACATATTGATTTCTTAAGTAGAATGTTAACATATGAGCGATTTGTTGTGCTAAGATTTGTTATTGTTGGTTATTCTGTTAGGATGTTCCTTAGTCTTTATAGCTTTACCTATATTGTAACAGTATACTGTAGTTCTAACTAGATGGAACTGTAAAAAATTTTGGACATTTTCATAAATAAGTATACATTACAATTCATATACCGGTATATCAACAAATGAGTTTGAGATTTATGATGAATAACTGAAATGAATGGCATTAATAAAAGGATGTAATTTATTAAAAAATTCTTTTATGACAATATATTTGTACATTCTATTTTCCTCTATTCAGAAAATCCCATTATTCAGCAGTATTAAAAACAATTTGTTTTTAACTTCATAATTGTGCAAAATATATGAACAATGAAATCAATGAGAATAAATAATTTTTGTGTAAAAACTCCTAAACATAATTTCATTTGAACAATAACACGATTTTAAAAAAGTATGTATATCTGAGAGGCTGGGGTTTTATTTTTTTTGTTGAAACTAGTAAAGAATTATTTCTGATCTAAAAGAACCATATTCCCTCACCCATATCAGTAATTTTCATCCTTGCTTGATTCACAATTTTTAGCAAGACTTAATTTTTCTCCTTTGCACAATTCTACTTATGGACTGTTTAGGATTTTTTTAATAATAAAGTTATGATATTTCCTATTCACTTGGACTACCTCAATCTTTAAAAGTCAAGTTCAACACAATTTTTGTTCATTTTCTCCTATGTTATATTAAGATATCAAACTAGATTTCTTGACGAAATTACTTAATTTCAATCATTCTAGTCATTTATGAATAATTTACTTTCTGTCAGGTATAGAAAGAGATGCTGTAACTATTTTTTCAACTTACATCGCTAAAGACTCACCAAAACCTATTGGAGTTGATGACACGCTTAGAGCTGAAGCCATCAGTAAGTCTTACTGTCCGCGCATAAATGTCTTGGCAGTTATTTGATGCTCACTATGTCTCCATGACAGTAATTTATTTTATGTGTAGATTTGTATATAACATTTCACAATATATGTTTCAATGAGGGAGATTCCCAACCCACGTACTATTGTTACATGATGTAATAAGTATCTTAATGGATTCTGTGACTTCTCCCAATGATTTCACAGGTAAAATTTGTCAAGAAAATGGTGAGGTAGATCCGGAGTGTTTTGCCAGCTGTCAGAGATTTGTGTTAAATAAGCTAGAATCAGAGTAAGTAATCACTCAGCTCAATCTGAACAGTAGAACAGGTTTACGTATGTAATGTCATTAGTTTGGCCCGTAATGAAATAGTAAAGTTTTATTAAGAAAATCTTGTTTGTGTAAAATAAAAATTTCTAAATAATAGAAAATGAAAAAGTACATTTCTTGCGGTAGATTAATTTTTTGCCTTGATAAGACATCAATGATCTTTGGCTAGAGAAGGTGTAATATATGTAATTAAGTTCTTTTTTTATTTTAATATTCAGTGCTGAATTAAATCCTCTATTTAATGGACCAAATTTTACCCAGATTTTTATTTCACTATATCTCCTAAGTTCTATGTTAGTTCTTTATCTCCAAACCTAGAAATTATATGATAAATTCAGACAACCAATGATAAACTTTTTAAATACAAATTTAACACACTGACCCTTTCTCTCTCTCTCTCTTTTTTTTTTTCTAAATCAGTTATTTCTTAGAAATGAAGTTTCCATTCTGAGCCAATGTTTAGGTTTGAGACTTGAAAAATGTGTTTTAGCTTTTAGCAAAATCTTGTGCATTTCTTAGATATTACCAGCCTTTTAAAGACAGCGAGTTCCACTGCCGTCATCAAGTCAATGTTCTAACAACAGAGAAGGTGTTCTTACCAGATATTCTCTTTAATGAAAATGCTCTGTGTTACTTTATGGAGGTAAGATTCGTTACTTTATGGAGTTAAGATTTTGGAAATAGTGAGGAATTAAAAATTATTTTCACAGGATGGAAATAGTGAGGAATTAGTTTAATATGTTATATCATGGAAACAGTGAATTAATTAATTAATTAATACACATTCCAGTAAATTAAAATTGGTTTGATTTAGCTCTTGAGAAATAAATTTTACTCTTGGTTTGAGATCAGCAGTTCTACAATATTAATTCTAACTCAACCACATGTACTTTTCATTGGGTTAATTTTAAAAAGTTGTGTTCCGGTAATTAAAACATTAAAGTAATTCGGTCAAGTCAGCTTAAAATATTTAAATGATTGAGGTTTTACCTCCACTTACAGTTTATGGAACAAGAGGGCGCTAGTGACCTTATGCAGATGTGGCTTGCAGCAGAAAATTTCCAACAACAACTGCTGTCCACAAGTGGATCTTACGATGGCGAGCAAGCACAGATTGATGCCATGGTTTTATATGACAGGTATCAAACTCTTTACTATTTTTTACCCATTGCAGCATTGAGGGAGATTTTGCCAACATGTTAGTTACTAAAGATAAGTACTGATCAGATCATGATGGGGGTTTATGGTTAATTTTGGAAAAGCTACTAAGTTGGCAGAATTCAGATTAATTTTAATGTCAGATCATATTTTATATTTGACATACGATTATTTCGAAAGCTTATTTTTTTTCCAAATAACTAATCATATCCAAAATAGTACATAACACATCTGTAACCATGACTATGCACTAAAACTAAATAAATTATTTCAAAATAAGATAGCGGGAGGAAGAGACGTTATAAGTAACATGTATTTACTCCTGATATTGAGAATAAAATTGCTGAAATGGCATAATACTCCATTAACTGGATTTTAATATTTTGTTTTTAAGCTTCTCTTAAAGATTTCCCCTAAATTATTTCATATTGCATTCTTAAATGTATTTGCTGTATTGTCCCAGCCCAGCTCTAGAACCACATGTGCTCCACCACCACCACCACCCATTGAAACAAACAAACAAAGACATCATGTTTGCTGAAAACACGTAGAGCACTATACCTAATTTACAGGGTTTAATCAAGCTTTAAAAAAAGTGTTTTTAACATTTCAATTAATGAGATAATATGAACCCTTTTTTTATCATCTTAATTTATTTTGCTATATAGATGACGAGGTAGTTCTCTTTCAGTTTTTAAAAGGACATTTTAGACATAGGAACTGGTCATTGCTTGACTCACTGCCACTATAGGAACTGGTCATTGCTTGACTCACTGCCACTATAGGAACTGGTCATTGCTTGACTCACTGCCACTATATCTTTGTTGTTAAGTTAGAATAAACTAACCAGTTATCTCCATTTCATGTTCGCAGATATTTTTCCCTCCAGGCCACCAATCCTGTTGGCTTTGATGATAAAATGAGATTTGAAATAGAGGGAAACATCTGCAGAGAGGGTGGACCTCTGCCAGGATGTTTTACTAAAGCCAAGAACATTGTGCTCAAGATCATAGATAAGGTTGGTCACATGGCATCAATTTTATTTTTTTCACCACTGGATCTTTGTGATGATTATTTTTCTCTCAGACAGTATGTGATGCTAGTTCACTCAACCACAAAGATGCCCTCTGTTACTTCTTCTGGAATATTCCAACTGATTCAGTCACACTATCTTTCACTAGGTGTACTTCTCCAACTACCTTCAGAGTCAGGTCTACTACAGATACCTATCTGATCTCATCTGCACAGTCCAGATGTCTGAGGATATGCCCAGCAAGTCTTTCCAGAAGGGCCATAAACGTTCAGGTGAATTGATCTTTGTTTTGATTATTGCATTCTTTTTAATTTGTAGAACTAGGTATAGAAAATGACAGACTGCACATTCCTCAACATTTCTACCTGGTCTTGTAATTATTAGTACCTATTGTGTATTGAATCTTATCTTTGAATATATAAATTATGTTCCTTGCGTTTAAATTCTTCTGGCTTGAGAATTAAATTAAGTTAGTTATTATATCATTGTATCTTAAGTTTGCTTTGTGTAGTTCAAAATAAGTGCAAAAGAAAATAAATAGATCAATTTACAAAAAATAATCACTGAACACGTAACTATAATTGGCTTCATGCAAGGTACGCAAAAATAGTAAAAATAATTTTACTGACTATCCTGACAGAGAGTGACGCATCATCCGAACACAGTGTTGGAAGCCATAGCACAGGCGCAGAGAGCGTTGTGTCTAGGAACACCCTCCTGGCAGTTGACACGCGTAAGCTTCGCAAAGGGTCAACAATTGAAGGAGATTTCAGCATGAATATGGACATGTTGAACCCAGATGACTTGTGGAAGAGACCAGTTGCCAAGTCAGTGACAATTTATTTCAAATTATCTCACACTTTAAAAGTCAATTTTAAAAACATTTTCTAAAACCTTTACAAGAGAAATAGAGTGACCTCATTGCAATGCCTCCCTTGAAGGATATCGTATGACACAATTTTAGTTCTCTAAAGTTGCAGTCATTAATAGAATATGTTCTGAATTTCAGTTTTAATTAAAACTAACTATTTTGTTATTTAAAATTTCTATGAAATCCAAACAATTTGATGTTTTTGTGGATACTGAAATGGCCTTTGAGGAATTTTTCATTTACCCCTCTACCAATTGCTAAGTATTATTATCTTGACCACTTATCACTTTCTGCTCAAAAAGGCAAATGGCCTTTGATAAATTTGTCATTTACCCCTCTACCAATTGCTAAGTATTATTATCTTGACCATTTGTCATTTTCTGCTCATCAACTGTGTCCCTGTCCTCTGGTTTAAGACTTGAAAGCATGTTTTCAATGTCACATGTTTTTTCCTATCCTCCCCACTCAACATAGACTTGATTCTTCCAGCAACTTGACCTTGGGCTGTGTCAATGAGCTGGGACAGTTTGTCTCTCACTTTGAGCATGACGCCGAAGCAGAAAAAAAGAAAGGTAAATGCAACGGTCTTGTCTTAGTGTTGATGCAGCTTTTTTTATCATTTTTGGTCTAAGTTTTGAGATGGCTTAATTTTTTTTTTAAATTGATTTGATTTCTGTTTCACAATGTCATGGTGGGAAATGTTTTTGGGGACAGGAAGCTGTTAAAAATTTGGAGAATCTTTTTTTTTCTAAATGCCTTCAGTGTTTTTTGTTTCATTCAAATTCAGAGATTATTTTTCATGTAACTTTTCAGGACCCCTTCTGTTTAAAAGGAGAAAAGAAAAGGAAAAGGTGGCTATATTTTTGTGTGTGTTATTATATGTTGAAGGTAGTGGTTGTTTAACATTGGTTGTACGGCTAACTTTATTTATGTGTTGTGTTAAAGTTGTAAGGCTTATTGGTATGGCACCATATGCGTTTGCTTGTATCAGATGAAGTCTAGCAAAATGGGGTGCTTTGACACACCATATGCCATGCCAGGGGGGACATAACGCTTATAAAATTACCTATCACCATCTGTACGTACAACAGTAGCCACACAAGAGGAGATCTTTCAACTAGAGTTTTACAATTCACACTCAAAAATTGTTCATAATAAAGATTATAACTGAGAACAATTTCATTTTTTGATTCATTGAGCTTATCATGCAAAAAAAGACAACAAAAACAAACTTTTTTGTCAAAACAATTTTCATGAAGTTACAGAGAACCAAACAGAAGACAAATATGAAAATGCAATGTAAAATTTAAAATTTCATGAGAAACTGGAGTTGCAAGATTTCCATACCAGGAATAATAATAATGTACACATTTAAAATGTCCCTTCAAGCTGATTAAACAATCATGCAGACATCATGTAAACTTGCCCATTTTTACTTATCATTTCTATTCATGTTATGTAATACTCTTCCTTCCCTTGCTGTAGTATGAAACTGAATTTTGTCAGCCAATCATATGTCATTTATTTAATCTTGTCTAGGAGGAGGAAGAGATGGCTCTGCGTATAGCTCAAATGATCATCTCCGACGTCAACACAATGACCAAGACGGGAGAGAGTATGAACAAAAAGAATGGCAGCTGACGCCACAAGGGACTGCTACATGCTTAGGATTCATGTTGCTGTTTTTTTATAATGGCTAATGCACAAAATGATTGTGAACATTTATTTATGTCCATAAGGACCTCGCGTATATGAGGTATGACATAAAGGAAGGAAATCAAGAAGGGGAAACTTTAATGAGGCTGATTTCCTGCTGCCTCATGTCATCAGTGAAATGGCATCAAGTTAGCAAAGTCAACTTTTATTTAAAACATTTATTTGTTATGGATGATTGCTGTACTTAATTTAATTTGTTAATGTGATAATTTTTTTGTTTATATTATCCCTTGTATAAAATATAAGCAGAAAAAAATTGTTGGTGTTTTATTGATTAATTTATAGAGCAAAGAAACTCCAAGATGTTTCTCTTGTATAACAAGGGTACATATATAGTCTTATCTTTGGAAGTGTTACTTGGATTCAACATAAGGTTACAGTATCTTAATATCTCTATTAATATCTCTGTTGTTGTGCACGCATGACTAACTCACAACATTTCTTGTACCTTTCACTAATATCAGCATCTTAGATTTGAGCACTTCAGTATTTGAACACTACAGTAATTCACCACTTCTGCCTTGAAATGCTTCAATGCCAAACATCCAAAGGCTGCAGTCAGTCTTGGAAAGCATCGACATATCCTTTCGTTTTTCATGACATGATATTGGTCTAAAGAGATTAGATATTAATTTTATCAGATTTATCAGGGGTGTTTTTTTGTTGTTTTTTTTTAACAAAGGTTGATAAATATTTCACTAGTGGTTTTCATGTGTTTGAGATGGTTAGGATTTAAGCTGGTCCTTGTTCATCTTGATTTGCTGCATTTCTGTTTTCAGTATATTAATAATAACTCAAAATGTGGCGGCTGGGGGGGAGGGGTGTTTAATATCTTGTGTTGTTATCCTCATATAATGCAAGAATTCAGAAATTTTCCAATAAGTGTCATCATACAGAGTAAAAATAAATATTTCCAACTGGTGCCAACTCTTATCTGGCCACCCATTCTCTATTTATTGGGCTTCAAGTTTCTTGTTCAATGGCTTATCTTTTTATGGTAATATTCTGTTATTAATTGTAACATATCATTATTAATTATTAAAAATATTATTGTGTATTACCAGAATGGCAATATGAAAATGTGACTATATTATGTAATGATAGCCAAAAGTAAATTTTTCTCTCTCATCAAATGGAGAGTTCCACCACCTACTTAAAGTGGTGGTATATTCCTTAATATCAGCCATATCCACATTCAACCATCTGATTGTTATTAATTATTTTACTATAAATTTTGTCTCAAGCTTGTTCCAGAGAGCTTCAGTCTCAAAGATCAATTGTTAAGGAATTACTAGCTACCAAACGAGTGCATATTTCTAATTGTTCATGCAAAATGTTGAATTCACTTGTATATAAATAATATAATTAAATATTATCTATTTTTCTAAGCGATTTCCTGTAAACACAGCTTGTCTTCCTGAACTGTTGATCAAACAAGGTTGGGAAGGATGGGTTACAATGTTTCTTTTGTCCACCCTGCAGCTGAGTTTCATTTATTATGTGGTTATGGTGGTGTTTGTTTTCTTCTATTTTCAAAGCTCACCATTAACAACACTAGAGATCTAAAACTCATAGGCCTAGACTGCATGCAGACACAAGTAGTGTGGAATAAGCTCACCATTAGCAACACCAGAGATCTAAAACTCATAGGCCTAGACTGCATGCAGACACAAGTAGTGTGGAATAAGCTCACCATTAACAACACCAGAGATCTAAAACTCATAGACATAGACTGCATGCAGACACAAGAAGTGTGGGATAAGCTCACCATTAACAACACCAGAGATCTAAAACTCATAGGCCTAGACTGCATGCAGACACAAGTAGTGTGGAATAGGCTCACCATTAACAACACCAGAGATGAAAAACTCATAGACATAGACTGCATGCAGACACAAGTAGTGTGGAATAAGCTCACCATTAACAACACCAGAGATGAAAAACTCATAGACATAGGCTGCATGCAGACACAAGTAGTGCGGAATAGGCTCACTATTAACAACACCGGAGATTAAAACTCATAGACATATACTGCATGCAGGCATAAGTAGTGTGGAATAGGCTCACCATTAACAACACCAGAGATCTAAAACTCATAGGCCTGGACTGCATGCAGACACAAGAAGTATGGAATAGGTTCATGGAAATATTTTCAGTGCTTAAAAATAGCCTCCAGCGAGAGATTGCCATACAGAAACCATATTTATTTTCATATATATTAATTTATTTTTCAATTGATTTAAAAACCCAGTTCATAAAAAGAGAATCTAGAACTTAGAGTTACAGACTAAAACACTGTTAGCCATCAATATGTTACAGCTATTTCATTACAGTATGTTTGGAATGACAAATTCTTTGAAGACATTTATTGTTCATTTTTAAAGCTGCACTGTTATAATCACTGACAACCAAAACTTGGGCATGGGGTGGGCATTTTTTGTACATGATTCAAGACACCACATTATTTCAAACACTAACATATAGGAAGCCCAATAATATTTATCAAAAAAATTTAGACAGAATGTAAACAATGTTGATTGTGACATTATGAGGAGGTGAATAATGTTCAGTATATACCTACTTTATATCCCTTACTTTTCTAATTCTCTTCTTCCCAAATAAGCTTAAACTTGAAAAGAAGATCTTTTACTTTGGCAATTGTTATGTTTTTTTTTTCTTTTTTGTAACTATTTGGCTTCCAAAACACACCAATCATTGGGCCTCAATCTTTTATTAGTTAATACAATAATTTTTTATTCTTTAGTCTCATTTTCAATGGTTATTTAAAACACTTGATATGAAATGAAAAAGGTATGTGTAATATATTTCGTATGTGGACAGGGAGAAAAAGATCACATGTAAATAATGTTTTTTTTTTTTTTTTTAAGTTCATATCCGGCTGAAGTGTGATCTAACAATTTTTTTGTGTAGTGATAAATGAATTCTGAGATTGTCATTTACATCATTTAACAAAAAAAATATGAAATGAAAAAGGTATGTGTAATATATTTCGTATGTGGACAGGGAGAAAAAGATCACATGTAAATAATGTTTTTTTTTTTTTTTTAAAGTTCATATCCGGCTGAAGTGTGATCTAACAATTTTTTTGTGTAGTGAGAAATGAATTCTGAGATTGTCATGTACATCATTTAACAAAACAAACACAATTCTAAGGCCCAACATTTTGTTATGATCAAAAGTATTTTTATATAAGTGAATTGTGTAACCCAACAACTGTGCTGTGATGTGGAAATGAGATCAACTATTTGTATTATTGTCATGTCTTTCAAGTCAAAGTGTGGGAAAATATAGTGTTGAAGAATGTTCAATAATAAAGTTTTTAAATAATATATCATGTTTTGTGTACTTTTGATGTGGGAAAAAATGTGTAAGCTTGGAAAGCAATAAAATTTTGATTCATGAAAATAATCAAATCATCTTCATTAAAAAAAAAAAAATTAAAAGGCAATTATTTAGGCTAAATCGTATTTCAAATAGATATTTTAAATATAAGGGAACCAGAAGCCAATGTAGACCAAATTAAATGATTAATATCAACTTGCCATCAAAATTAAGATAAGATTCTTTTATTGATCCAAATAAATGGAAATGTTTTGGAAAAAAGACAAAGGGGGGGGGGGGGGGCGGTGCGCTGTATGTTCATGGCAGACCCTGCGACCAAAAAATGATTCTAAAAACCTCAGAGAATATTGCATTTTAGAGCAACAGGCCCTTCTGAGACACATGCCTGTTAAATGTGGAAAGTGCTACTAAAAGGGAAAGCAGGCTGCTGTCCAATTGTGATCAGTTCAGAGATCTGTATATTAAAAATCAAGAACTCTCCCCTTTCAATAGTGGTAACACCAATGGTTTGTTTGGTTTTGGAGTAACCACTGTTCTTCAAGGTTAAGTACCGGTATCATACAAAATTAAGATGGAAAATGTCAAGATTTGAAATGACCACTCTAAAGACCATTTATTATTTCATTAATTTTCAATTTGTTTCCTGTTATGCATATTATACCTCTGCCTACTTTCTTTTCCTCTGCATTCAACCTGGTCTTTTCTTTCTTCTAGTACTAGTAGGTAATTTACTTTTATGCAACTTTGTTCTTTTTTTTTAGAACATTTTGTTGTTTTTTTCAGTTCAGCCAACCTCAACATTTTCACCTGCATTTAATTAATCAGTTGTACTTAAAGTTAAACCCTGCTTGTTACACAGTTATTTTTTTTTTTAGTTTTCATCATTTCTAAAAAAAAGACTTTCAGCCAATAGTAATAAGAAGCTACAAAAAGAATTTAACACAAAAGAACATAAGATATTTTTAATAGTTCATTTGCAAGAATTTCACCCAAAAAAAAAATTAACACAAAGAAAAACATGTTAATCAAATACAGTCATATCACAAAGAACATATATCACTTTAGACAAGTTGAAAGACAACAAAACAAAATTTTGGACACAAATATACCCAATTATCTGGCAAATTCTGATAGGCCATTCCAGTTGTTTTTCCTCTCTAACTTCAATTCTCATTTATATTTGGATTTTTGTTTGTTTCTTGATAGTCAGATAAAATGAGTTGGTCAGAAACTGTTTTGAGTGGACTTTAGTTACTCTAATCTGACATGTCTGTCTTAACTGATAGGATGGAACTAAAATGTACACTTATATACAAGTAACAATCTCAAAAAGTTATTGTTTTTATTTAAGATGATAAATTATAGACAGTTATGAAATGTAAGTGTTTGGCATTCAGTAAATACATTCAATATTTCCTCAAACACATCCACAAAGGCAGTAGAGCAATTAAAGGTTACAATATTTCATAGTGAGGATATGTACAGTATTGGTCATTTATTTATTTGTTGGGGTCATAGTAATCCAACATGTGATGGGTCATTGGCTTAGTGATGGAGGCAAACAATACTTTTGATAGTATTGTTTAGTCTTATCTTTTCCACCACATAATGTCATCTTAACAAATTGCATAATTTCAAGTGGAAATTGCCATCCCACTTGACTGAAGATAAAATAATCATTTATCAAAAGGGTTGTTCGTTTGGTTTTTTTTTTTGCTACAAAAAAAAAAAAATTAAAATTATTGGTCAGGTCATTTGTGACACAAATAAGTATTTTATTTGTCACTTAACTAATTGCAGCGGGTGAGCTCTAGAGCAGGGGTTCTCAAGAAAGTGGTCTGGTGGCCAGCACCGGTCCACAAATCTTCAGTCACCAGATCTCAAAATGTGAAAATTAAATTTCAAAAGAGATTGAAATTGTATATTAATAATTAATTTTAAAAAATGGGGGGCACTTGTTTCATTGGTGCAATGTCATTTGAGGCACTGCTCCAATACACTTATGGCAAAGGGCTTAAAAGTTAAAGGACAGTAAGTTCATCCAATGTAAAGATGATCTCATAGCATCTCTTACTACAGAGAGCAAAGTAGATTAATTGCAGGCCACAAGGCATGTCTAGAAAATAATCTGCAAGCTATAACTTAGTATAACCAAAGTCAACCAAAGCACTGAAATAAGTTTTCATTTTATTACTCCAAAGTGGTTGGCATTGGTTTTTATGATTTATCATTAATTAGTTTTAATTAAAATTGTACAAGTTAATGGTTGTTTTCATTCTCAAACTGTCAAAGTACCTGTTTTGGTTGCTATTATTAATCATAATGAATGTGTTTTTTTGCATATCAAACTTAACCCATTTAAAGAGCTTGACAAGGAAGCATCAATTGGATCTAGAAATGTTGGAAGCAACACACACATTTTTTTCTGCTACCTTTGAATCCAGTGACATTTTAAACATTAATGCCTGTAATAAACAGCCACCCCGCCCCACCCCACTTTTTTCTTATTTAGGGTTTGAAAGAGGTGGAGGGATGTCGCTTGGCCCATTTATAGTTGGCCCATTTATAGTTGGCACATGAATGGATGTGGAAACTTTTTGGACAGGGGGGAGGGGGAGGGGGGGAGGGGGGCAGAAAATTATTTTATTCTGAGTACGGAATTTATATGGATGACTCTTTAATGACTTTTTAAAAAAGAAAAAGAACCAACGATGACTGTTTTATGATCACGACAAGCTATACTATTTAAAAATAATAGTAATACTATTAGTATTAGGCAAAATTATATAAAAATGTTCAAGCAAAAGAAAACTGATAAATAAAAATAAATAAGTAATTATCCCAATCATGACATGAACAACCCACAATATAATTAATATGAACTGATCATTTAAAATTTGTATAGATCTTTTTCATCCCACTCAAGTTATTATCATATATGCAGAAGAGCATGAAAGTTCAGTTCCACATGCAAAACACATTGATTTGTAAGCAGCAGGACATATAGAAACAAAGGCCATAAGTATCCTTGCAGAGTAATGTTTTGAGGAACTCTGCATATTCTCAAAATCAGCTCCTTATGTATTCAAACTGAGCAAAAATATAACTATAACCCCTTATAAAATAAATCATGGAGAATTTTTAAAAAAATTATTTTTTTTAATGCTCAGAGAACTTTTGACTGTTTTGATTTACAACACTGTGGGTGTTACTCTGTGAAAAATTGGCTCTTTGTTTCATTCTATTGGCTTGGCAAAATTGTAAATTAAACAACAATGTTAAGGCCACAAAGCGAATAGTTTTAAAGTGTATAAATTTAATGATTTCAAAAAATTTACTGTCTAAATTTTGTTTAATCTATCTCAGCCAACAAGAAAATTCAAATACATCTGGCAACATAAATAAACCTAAAAAAATATTATTTTCAAAAACATTAAAATAGAACTTGGTAAACACAGTTTTGATGATTTTACACAATGTGAGATTGAATGTGTTCATTTTCAAATACTGCACACAACAAATGGTTACCAGGTGATAGGCTGTGGGTGTTAGTCACCAAATTAGTATATAATTAATATCTAGAAAAGTAATTCATAACTAGCCCTCCCCCAACCTAAACCCGCCCATATTACAAGACAACACAATCAAGTGTAGATGAAGATTTTTTAAGATCTAAAAAAAGCTTGAATAGAGCAGCCAGCTAAAGAAATCTTTGTTGGAATTTTAGGCAACCAATGCATCTTGTAAACACACCTGTTTCAACCAGCTAACTACAAATCATTCAGCCATGGGTTTCTTTTTTACTCACTGATTAGCATCCAATTAGCAATAAAAAATAAAATGACACTTTTAATAATGCACCCATACATATCATCAAATCCAAAATATTAAACAATTGAAGAGCATTTTACATTGATCAAAACTCAGCATTAATTGATTCCTTAAATTTAAATGTGAGAAAGCTAAGACAACTACTTCAAGTTTTTAACATCTTCAACCACTTGAGTATTTCAAAATTTATGAACCTGACTGAGCCTGACATAAAGGGCACACACAAAATACAAGTCTATATACCTGATGGAGTCGAAGCAGATCATACCACAGTTGTTAGATTTTGATTGACTGAGTTTTGGAGAAAAAGCTCTTCATTATTCACAGATGTCAAATAAAATATTTTCAAACACATTTTGATACCTGGTCAAGCAAGATTTGCATCACATTAAAGGCCAGTTACATAGCATGTTTCAATAAATAGGACCGAGTTCAGTCTGAAAGGTTAAAAATGAGCAAAGTTCATAACAGCCTTCATGTTGTCCTTACCATCTCATACAGCACTGATCCCAGTAATCTGATATAGAACCATTCTCTTCTTGTGCATCACATGTATGTGCTCAATACTCTGTCATTCACTTTACAAATGGGACAAAACTTTCAACCGCAAAAAAAAAATACATGATTTTTATTTTCAAACACTGAATCGGCATAGCCAGCAAACCTATTCATCTCAAGAATTTGTTTCAACTATTTGTAATTACAACAGTTTTATGTGATTTTTTAATTTAAATTAAAGATAAAATTTTGTGATAAAACAATATATCTCATTGTTTTAACATGAATAGCATATCAAGACGCATTTCTACAAAACCAAGTCAAATGGAAAAATGGGATTTCCTCTGAAAATAGAGAAAAAAAATCACATTTCTGGACTAATCACTCCACAGAATTGGAATTGGATTGCCACAAAAATTTCTCGTTCAAACATTAAATGCACATAGCTATTCCCATGGTGTATATGTGCACAAGACATGATCATTCACACAAAAACATGGCAGTGTCTCTTCAGTGGGGAATCATTTCTGCAATGGGCAGGCAGTCACTTCAATGAGATGGTCATACACACCCTATCCGGCTGGTATCAGCAAGTCTGAATTACTTTCTAGACATTCTGTTTGGCTCATGGCTGTGAACTCACCTTTAGGTAAAATAAATATGGAGAATTTGAAGAAAAAAATGGTTAATTATTCGCTCAAGCAGAATCTAACAAAACCATGCAGATCTATTCATTGATAATAATTAATTTCTTTTTGTACTAACCGACAATGCCATTTAAATTTTGTTGATTTTATACAAATGTTTTGTGATTATAGTAGGAAAAACTTTCTTCTATTTAGTATTAAGAAAATATTAAATAAATTTGTGGGCAATACCCCTGCGTCTTTAGTACAAGAAAAAGTTGCTATCACAAGAGTAAAACAACTAATTTAATTAACATATAGATACTTTTGAAGTTTCTGAATTTAAAAGGTATCAGAAGTCAAATATTACTTTAAGTTTTATGTGTATATATGCTTTCCCAAATCCGTCCCTGATATGATTTTTAAAATGGTTCTTCACTTTAAAAAAAGTTTGCAGCTTCATGATCTTAAGTGTCCTAACTGTAACCACAGAGTACATTACTATTGAATTAATATTGCTTGGATGGTATAAGTAATAAAGGAAAAATCAATGTAATGAAACTGTTCATTTACTCTGCATTGTGTAGATTAAAATAGACAAAGTTGATTTTTCATTAATTATGAAGATTGTTATTCAGACATGACACAACACTGTGTGCATTGGAAGTTTAGAAATACCAGTCCTGTAAAACTACTTTAAAAAGCTCAGACAACTATGCAGGGATCATTCCCTATAGATCAATGGTTTTCAGCCTGTGGGTTGCAACCCCCTCAAGAATAGTTAATATACGATTTCGGGTAACCATTATTTTTAGATTTAAAAAAAAATAATATTTATGGTCTCTTATGGTTGTTTTATATTTTTTGCCTCAATTTAAAAATTAGTGGCCTCCCCTGCGTGACATCCACTGACATTTTGTTGTTTGAAATATTTCATTGTACTATGAACATTTAAATGTAAACATTTCATTCTTTTGAACATAAGATGATTACCAAAAAATAGGGGTGTGCCGGAATCCGGTCCGGAATCCGGTTCCGCCAGATTTTGCACTATCCGGTGAAATCCAGTTCCGCCGGATTTACATGTATCCGGAACAACCGGAATCCGGAATATACCGGATTTCGGAATTTGCCAGATTTTGTGACTCACTGGATCATAATCTGAAATAAAAGTAATTCTCTTTCCCGAATTCCACACGATCACGATACATTAATCGATTGTTTCGAGCGTTGAGCTTGTTTAATGTTTAATATTCCGTACATACCAGAGGCTAGAGTCAGCACCGCTAATAGTGGCCAATAGTGTAGGGACTTTGATAAGAAAATTTAAACTTTTTGTAAAAATAAACCAATGGCATAGTTGAAAAGATGTAATTTTTTAAAGAATTATAACACCAAAATCATATTTTTAGCTGTTGTAGTTTTAAAGTTATGAATTTTTAAAGTACGACTTGGTTTGTCATTTTTTAACATGGACTGCATCTCCACATTCTGTGATCTCATTCCGCCAATCCCGTCATGCGCAATGACTATATAGTTTATATAAGGCAACGCATTCCCTGCCTTATCACTAAAATACTGTTTAGACTTAGTTTAAACTTTCAACTTTGGCACATGAATAATTAATTAAAGCTTTCCCTGACCAATGGTTTAATAGTTTTTGCACACGGCAAACTCTTATGAATGAAACTCTGAGGTAGTACTACGATACAGTTATGCAAGTGGCTGTGAATGGTTGCCAATGACAACGTGTTGCACACGGTAAATTCTGATCATTTATAATATGGATTCTACCGGGTTGTTAAAGCTCAAATTAAAACATTCCAGTTTAAATGTCTTTAAATGCATTCTGAAACACAAGTTATCAATTATTTTGATGTAAATAGTGATAATAAATTAATATTTCCTAAGTATCGTCAACTTCCGCCATTAAAAAGGGGGGCGTGGCCAACCCCATGGCGAAATTAGGTTGAGCGAGCTGCATGACCTGCTGCGAACGCGTAGAAACATGGCGTCTCTCGTAAGACACTTATCCAAATGGAACGGAACTCAAATATATATCGAAAGTACTAATTTAATAATAAATAGACACACACATCGGAAAATTAAAAACTCTGATTTTTTGGCGCCGATTGCGAATTCCCATACACAAAAAGTAGTAGTCTACCTTGACTTACCGAAGTATCTACCAATAGTACCAAAATCCGGATTATTCCGGAATCCGGATTATTCCGGAATCCGGATCCGAATCCGGCGGATTTCACATAAGAAAATCCGGATCCGGTTGGAAAAAACGGATCCGGCACACCCCTACCAAAAAAGTAAACAAAATTATTCCACATTGCTCTGTTGTGAAATAATTATGCTTAATTTATATACACTTTTTTAAATGCAAGGTAATTTTTTTTCAAACTATAAATTGTACATAATTAATGTAAACTTGTCAATACCATCACCCCCAAACACCAAAACAAAACAAAACAACTTCACCCGCAACTGTTACTAAATGTCTGGGCATTCGACTGGTTGTGTGTCGCCACAACTAGGCAAATTTTATCAAGGGATCGTAGCAACTAAATATGTCGAGAGACAAACATTTCTTCCCTACCTTGTCATACACAGCATGTACAGTCTTCATCTTCCCGGGCCGCCCTTTAATCAAAGCATAACAGAAGAGTGTGACAACCATGACGAACAGGAAGTAGCTTGTCCGCATCAGATGGAGGTTTATCATTGACCTGTCTTGCTGCATTACAAGTGACCACAAGTCAGTTATTGCATTTTAAATTCTTAAATTTTAGGATGAGTACTTTCAAAACAGTTACCCTTTATTTAAATGAACAGAGTGAAACTTTATTTTTCATACTATGTGTCATATTTCAGATAATCTTTCAATAACATCTATAGAGGGTGTCATGTTTCAGACAATCTTTCAATAAACATCAAAGAGGGCGCCATGTTTCAGACAATCTTCCATTAAACATCTATAGAGGGCAGATTAGTTACGCTCTGTAAAACTCTATTTATAGATTTTGAGTTGATTTGAGTTTGTAAGAAATAGTTATAAATTGAAAAAACAAATTTAAGATATCGGTATATGAATGAAATTGTAAAACTGCAGAACTGCTTGCAGGGTCTCTCTAAATCAATCAGATGGTTATTTTATTGCAAGTAGGTTAAAGAAATTCACTTGACATAATCATAAAATAAGTATTTGATATTTAGAGTTATATATTATTAAACTAATTTTGTGAATCCAATAAGGTAAATAGTAGCTACAAAATGATCTGTGGTGCTTTTCACCAGGCCATTCGAATAAGGGGTGAGGGTCACTAGAAGCAAAGAATGTCTAACCTTTCGCTAAACAGGGATAAAACCTTAAATGCAGCCGGGAGAACACATCAGGAGGTTTGGGCCAAACTAAATGACTGTGTAGATACACCAATCAAATCAGTGAATAGCCTATTTTTATAATTACAAGAAAATGAACTTAAAAGGTGCACCTGTGTTAACATGACAGTAAGAGACTCATCAAACGAGTACTGCATGGTCATCCGGGCTCCCTGCACACACCAGTGTATACTGCTGCTCACCACCAAGGCCGCTGCAGTCATGTTTCTCATTAGGCCATCACCAAGAGAATCTGCTCCTGCTATGCATGTCTCAGATGTATGAGGTTTCCTAAAATACATAAACACATGTAGCAGTTGGTGGAAGTTAGTAAAACCTTTTGCAGCAAAAATTTTGTTGTACACATTCGGCTAGCACTCTTTGTTTCGGCTTTTATCTTGCAACTTATCTATTTGTTGAATGATACAGACTTGTCAGATTAAGATATTTCCCTATCCTATAGAAATTCAAATTTTGGGTTTTATTTTGTCACATCAATAGCTTCCACTATGTTTTCCATGTGCAAGTACTGACATTTAATATATATAATTGATATTAACAAAAAAATGTCCAGCATTATTGGCATCATTATTATTTATATTAAGCTATTAATTTATTTTTTAAGGTCATACAATTATCATTTTATCCACTTTTACTGCTGACACTTACTGGGTGTGTGGCATCATTGATGCAGGTCCACTGAAAGTTACACATGTGTTAATGACATGAAGTCTGCATTCTGTGTCCACATATTCTTCACATGTGCCCATGCTTAAATTGTTGGGGAAGGTGAAAGTGACAAATATCTTTTCTTCACTATTGCTACCTGAAAAATGTCAAATGAATGGTTCTAAAATTATCTGCAGCAAGTACACTCATCATGAGCTGTAGCATTGAATCATGTGATATGTAAATTTATAGAGCACCAATGTCATGTTAATTTCCAAAAGATGCACAACAGCATTAAGTCAAACAAAATTTTTCATTATCAGTGACTAAATTTCTTGCACCAGAATGCAAGCATTTGATAAATAAAAAACAAATACTATCTTTTAAATTTCCATTTCATTTTTAACAAAATATTACTAAAATGTTTTGTCAATTTTATTTGTAAAAGTTCATTATAGCTTTAACATATCCCAATTGTTTAGAATTATCCATGGATTAGGTGTCAAAGGATAATTGACTAACGTGCTTTTGAACCACTTAAAATAAAATTGGATTACCTCCTATAATTTACAAAATCATACTTTTTTCAACATGCAACAGCAGTAAAGGGCTTTGCTTCGATATAAAGATATTCCCACTCATATCAAACCTTGGAACTTAAGATAAAATAAGCAGCATACATAATTTACACCTTTGCTTTGAGTTTTATATTGTGTATATAGTCAAAATGCATATTTTTAAAGGAGACAAAAGCATCATTTTATCCCGTGGTATACCTTTTATTCCAAGCATGTTCCCAGATATAGGTGCCGTAAAGTGAACCATACTGAGAGGTAACGCCAACAATTCAGGTGATGGCGTAATTTGAATGTTGAGATACAGTGTTATGTTCCTGAGCAGAGGAAATGTAATTATATTTATTGTGCCAACAAAATATAACCCTCTCAAAATGCATTATAAATTACATCAAAAGAAGAGAACACAAATTATTTTATATAAGATAGTACATTTTTTCCCACTAGTTTCTTATGTAATTTCTGCTTTTTTTGGGCCAACTTTCAAAAAATCTTATATTCTTTTTAAGTTTAGTAATTCATCTAAATAAAAGTAATTTTTAATGTGATCTTTTTATTGGGACGCAGGACTTTGTTAAACATGACCTTTTCAATCAGTTTTTAACCCTTTATTTTATTCCTCAATCTGCTGAATGTTTCAACATTTTTGACCCTTTTTCTATAGCTGAAATTTTGTGGACAGCCTGGTCTGGAGACACAATGTAATCTTGGAAAAATCTGTGGGTCCTCAACTGAGTACAAATATGTACTGTACATAAAATATCTTCTTTATTGCTAGGTCAAAATTTAAATGTAAAAATAATGCATGATGTCTATACAGGTACTCACACTACAGTTTCTTTCCCCAGTGACACATCAGTGGTTGATGGAATGTATTGCTCCCCATTGGAAGAAGTCCTCTCACTTGAACCAGGTAAAGCTTGAAATGATGAAGTGTCTTCTTTTAAAATAGATCGTTTTGCTACATGGCTTAGACTCAGAGTAGGGCTAATGAACTCAGCAGTTTTGCCATCTTTCATTTTATTCTTGATGCTGTTATAGATGTCTGCAGGGCTCTGATCTCCAACCTGCATCTTTGATGTCGTTGAATTAATCAGAGATGTATTGTGAGGAACACAGAATGCAAGGTGTGAGACTCTGGTCAAAAAGGTATTCCAATCCTGAAAAACGTAACAGTTAAAGCTGGTTTTCAGCAAAATCAAATATTTCATATGAAGAGCACAGATGATAAAAATGTATTCAAATATTGTGAGAACTGTTTGGCGAGAGCACCTTATCTGACATCAATAAGATTCCACTATCAGACTACGATAAGCAGGCATATTTCAGACATGTTCTGTGACACTGAAAAATCAAATTTTAGCAAAGATATTGACACATGAATTTGTTGCACTGCAGGTGGATAAAAGCATGGATGTCAATGGTAAATCACAGCTTATGGGGTTTGTAAGTTTATTGAAAATGGAGCTATTGTTGAAAATATTTCTGCTGTAAGGAGTAAACAGAGACTTTTGACTTTGTCAATTCATATTTGCAGTCCTGTGAATTGAACTGGAAGAACTGTCAGATTTATTACATGAATTGAACATTTTGAACAGTGGAATGTAAATTGAACATTTTGAACAGTGGAATGTAAATTGAACATTTTGAACAGTGGAATGTAAGAGTGAAATGAAAACATCTTGAATTCAAATGACAAATGCATTTCTGAAGAAATAGGCAATTTGAAAATAGAATGCATCTTCTGGAAATTTGGAAAGATTTCCTAGTGTTATTCAAAAAAATTACTAAGAAATTCTTCCATTGATTGTGACACTTCGTTGAATAGTCGCAGCAAATATTTTCCCTTGGTATCTACTGAACAGTACAACTGGGTTAGAAGCCCTTTTGTGGAATTTGAACTGAGCCAAGCACAGTTTACTTTCAAGGAAGAGGAGAAACTTGTTAGTGTTGGGAGTGACAGAACGCTGAAGCTAAAACATACAGAGTTGAACTTGGATGCATTTTGGTTACTAGTTGAAAACGAGTACCTGGCTGTCACTGAGAAAACTCTGTAACTTCTCTTGCAGTTTTCAACTTCTTACAAGTGCGAGTTCAAATTTTCTGCTATGACCACCATCAAACACAAGAAACCAGAATGACTTTTGTCTGTCGAAGATGAACACATTTGTCTTTCTCTAAAACTCGGTCACAAAAATTAACCGCTTTGTAGAAATCATCATGAGCAAGTTTCGCACTGAAAGGTTCGCTACTCCAAACTGATGCTCAGGGGTAACAATGAAGTAACTTAGCAACTAGTAATGCAGGCTATTCAGGCCACACAAATGTATTTTTTATTTGGGCTTCAATAACACTGTTACACATATACACCTGTATCAATCAGGGTTTTTTCTCTGCCATAACTAAGTATAGAAAATTCTTTTTCTGTCATTTTTGGAAGAGAAAGAACCCTTGTGTCACAGCATGAAGTTCCACAAGCAATATTAAGCACTCTAAAAGATTCTGTCCCAATAAAATGATTGAAAAACACTGCTTTATCTACATATTTTATTTTAAATTATTGTTTTATCAGTATCAACTATTCTGGTATTAGCATTATTGCAACTTACAGAACACAGAGATGCTTCTTTACCAAAACGACCAGGGAAAGGATAATTGTTATAAAATACATCTGATATTTTGGCGCACCATTACTCTCAATGGTGACGAGATTAATTAAATATAAAAGTTAAAGTCAATTTTTGTATGACTGGCCACAAGATTAGTTTTGGTAAATTATCAAGTTAACCGACACCAATCACGATCAGAGAACACAATTTTTATTTCTTTATTTAAAATAATTTTGTAATTATAAATAATTGATATTCAAAGTTAAAAAATAATCTTATTTAAAATAAGCTGATAAGCATACAAATTTTATAGTGCCAATCCTGGGTGAGGATTTTTAAAAAAAAGGAAATTTAACATGAGTGAGTAATTGACTTGAAGTTTAGTGAATTTAAACACTATTTCAATATACTAGGAGATCCTTTCCATGTGCATTTCTTTTTTGGGGTAATTGCATGTGAGTATTTTTCTGTATGGAATATCCCTTGGGTTTTTGTGTGTTCTTTTCATCAAGTAACCCACTCAACAAAATTATAAAGCGCACACAGCGGATGCATTCTCATGGTACATATCTAAAATATATTTGACAAATTTATGCACTTAAATTTCCCTTTCTTTTTAAAAACATATTTACTATACCTCTGATATGTCTGGATTGGGCATATCCTTTGTCTTGACAATGTAAGCAAATGTTATGAGGGCTATTGCAAAGGAAGCGAGGCATATCATGAAAACAACCAGTGGTGGCCGACTATTAAAAAAGCCGCGGAGGTTCTCTACTATGATGAATGTCATTTTAATATGTCTGAAAATGAAAAGAACAGAATTTCTGACAAAACATAAATACCGAATTGGCCTGTGAGACTATGACATTATATAAGTGTTCTCATAAGATTAGACTGGACCAAGTATTTATTGAAACATACAATGTCATATGTTAATATTTTGTAAAATACTCTTTCATATTTATTTCCATGTACAAATTATATACTACTTGTTACTATGCTAAAACAATAAGCTTTTCATGCTACCAAAATTGAATGCCATATTATGGACAAGGGTGCAAAAAGTTATTTTAGTCATTTTAGTATTAAAGTCTCCAAAGTAAAATATTACAAAATGGCAGCGCTTTATTGTAAAATCACTTAAGCCTTTTTAACAAAATTTTTTTAGAAATCAATCTTACTGTTTATAAATAATGTTATCAATATGAAATAATGTACTATAATATATGCCTACACCTAATGGTTTCATGAAATAGTTATAATTTAGATGACTTCACCCCCACGACTCATATGGCAGTCATCATCCTGCTGCAATATTAGAGTGACAGTACACACTCACACAAAGGTGAAACAAAATGATTTTGATTAACTCTTTCCATGCTAGGGGGTTTTGCATGTTCGTGCCAGACCAGTATTCGGCCAATGGAAATTTTTTAGGGTGCTCCTATCTATTAATTAATTTTGAATACATTTCTTTTAGCAAGATAGCTGTATTTCATATCAAATTAAAGGAAATTAGACAGAGAATAATAATATGTAAAATATAAAACAATATAACAACAATAAGTTAAATGTGTTAGGTAAAATTGTGAGATCAAATTTTTTATATTTTTAAAATTGCACACCAAATCTGAACTTCACAGACTACCATACGGTCTGTGTAGCTAATATCCTATTCTGCTTCAATCACCAAAAAGTATATCCATTTTTGATCATAATGGTTTTGAAAAAAATTCATAACTTTTGAACTACTTGAGCTAGAAAGTTGATCTGGGTGTTTTTTTAATCCATTCTCTAGGCTCTATACATTCGTGGTATTTTTATATTTTAAAAATGTTTTGAAATTTTTATGAAATTGCCGACAGTCACCACTATTACTATTACTATCACCATTCTAATACTATTTCCATTTGGCATTTACCGACCCATCAGAATGCTGAAAATCATCATTGGAATCAGATTCAAATGATTCATGGTTATTGTCTGTTGTTTCAGCATCAATAATTAGCAATAAAAGTTCTTTTGTTTGCAAAATTGACTACCTACGTGGTCAAGCAACAGCTGACATGCTTGGAGTGGGCGTGGCCATGGCTTTGTTTACAAAAGTTTCAACACAAATTAAACTATTATTAGAAAAAACACATGCAAACATGCCATACTTCTTAAAAAAAGGAAGTAGTAAGAGTTATCCTTCGTTTAAGAACAGAAAAAGTCGGATTAAGAGCCACAAGAAACGAAATAAACTACATAAATGATATCGACAGTATACTGTGGGTTGGCACGAACGCGACCAGTCAAATCTTTTCGCACGGAAAGAGTTAATGTTATTCATTAAAAAGTCTGGGCCTACACAATCACAAAGTTGTTTTATCAAAGTCAAAGCAAATTGGCAAAGTCACTAAAGTCAAAGAGAGAAGCTGAAACTAAACAACTATATGCCACTTAGCCTATAGTTTTAACTAGCTTGGTATAATGTATAATCAATCAAGTGTGTAGAGTCAGTTGTATGCATATTCAGCCTAATGTTACTTATTTTATAATAATGATCTAGTAGTTGGGTATAACACTAAAATAGTTGGTAATTATCCAGGTTAGTGCCAAAATTCATATGTGTGAGATGTATTGAAAATGTACAACTTCCGGTTGTCTAGTTTGAATGTAAACTTTAATTTTTACTTAAAATAATCAATCCAAACGTATTTTGTCAGAATGCTATTTTTCATCTAAACACCCACAGAGGCAGTGCAGAGAGTAAGAGATGGAAGTGCTGTGACTGTGGTTTAAGAAAGTCTATAAGACATGTTTCTTTCTTCAGTGGTAGCCACCTGTCAATGAAGCAGATAATATTGATGGTTCAATGCTGGAGTTCTGATAGGTCAAAGGTACTTATAAAAATGAGGTTGGCCCAAATGATTCTGAGCCAGAGGTCCACACACAGACAGTGGAGAATATGTGGATGTGTGCCAAAAGAAATCTGTGGCCGTAGCGACAGTTCATAGCCTCAAGGAAACTGTTTCAGTCATAAATCCATGAATTATTTTTAATCTTTCAGAACAAGTTCCAGAATGATAACATGTTCTGCCATTTCTAGGACATGGTAGCTGACAATTATCTTGATGCTGTCAACTATCCATGTGCTGACATTCGTACTCCTTTAATTTTATGCTTAAATAAAGTCAGTACTTAAGGGGACCCACGGGTCAAAAAATAATTGAAATTTGAAAAAAATATTGATTCTTCAAAACTTGGATTTCCTGTTCGATTAATATCTTTATTATCATTAAATATGGTAAAAATTATAAAATTAAATAATTTTAACATAATAATTGTGATATGAAGGTGTTGGGGGTCTATGTTTTTGTTCACACCTAACCCCAAATGACCTATTCTTCAACACTTGATTGTGCGGAAACCCCGGGTTCGATTCTAACATGTTTGGTATCGTTGGAAAGCTAATCATCGCATAAAGAATGCCATTTCGATGAATAATTTATCTAAAAATAACCATTCAAGTAGTTGTCATTAATTAAATAATGTGATTTTGGGCACCTAACTCCTAAACTGGATGATTACCAAAATGACCAAATAGTTAATGTCCAATACTACTACTACACTGGCCACGTCTACTAAGTTTAAGTCTAAGACTAAACTAAGAGTGAAATAACTACTTAGACGACTACTACCACATAGTTATATATATGACATGAGTATGAGTAATATGACATTCAATGAATTCAATTAAGTTACAACTCTACTACTACTAAACTAAGTTAGAGTAGGCTCCAGTAGTAGGGTCACCTTCTATAATTATTATAATATACTTCTGATAAACTTTTAGGACAGCCTACTTTAACTGCCTACTACTACTAACTAGTATTCTAGTCTCGACTTCTAAGACTAGGGTAGACCTAGACCTAGCGGCGTAGCATTGCAATCTCCGTTTTCTCATGAATGAAAAAATGAGTGCCAACTGCTACAAGTAAAAGTGCAATGAGCAGCAATGAATGCCAATTTAAAATTATTTTGTTAAAAATATCTCGACAAAACTACCCCCTTGACAAATAATAGTCAACTCACCCTAAACTGTTAATAACAATAATTTTGTAGCCTGATCGGCATTTAAAGTTTTCAATGATTGAATAAAGGAATGCGCGTCGATCGTTAAGTAAAGAATAGATAGTGTTCACGTCACAAAAGCTGGATGTTGACATACAACGACGACGCCATGACAGTTTTCATTGCGTTATTGGCCAAGATTTTTCAAATGCAGTAGACATTGAAAGGCTTTGGATTTTTACATGCCAAATTTAAATAATATACTTATTTGTATTTTATTTTTAAGGATATTTTTAACGTTCATATTGCTGTAGTTAGAGTAGTTTAAGGCGCCTGCCATATGCATCCATAATAATTTAGAGGAAAGAGTGCATGATGAGTACCATTTATTAGCCGCAAGGTTTCTGGATTTGTGATTGTGATGTTACCACTTCCAACGTTTACCTGCATTGTCTCACAAATGGGCGCGGCTCAAATTTATTTAACATTTCGGTTACCTTTCTTCTTCTTCTTTGGTATGTATTTATTTTTGTATTCCTTTTTTTTTAAATTTAAACTCAAATACTTGTAGGCAGTAAAATGTAAAACGATAGAATAATGTATACAAATGTAGTAGGCTACATTTTAAGGTTAATGTCAGTTTCAGAGTGAGTAATATTTTAACTTAGCTTCGAGGGTGGCGCATCTAAATATGGTGCTGCGTATGGCATGGTGCACATTCGGTTGTTTGTTTTGTTCTTTTTTTTTGGGGGGGGGGGGGTATGGATTGTTAATGAGGACGGCAAACGCAAGGGGCGTCCACGGGGGTATAAATTCAAGCTATGCATTTGCTTTTAGAGTTCACGTATCTTTCTACTGTTATTTTCCCTTGTTTATAAATGACCTCGGAAATAAATTGTTAGGGATAATATGATATATTATTATATATTAATAGATGAGCTATCTTCAGGTTTTGATCGTTGATTATTTTAAAAGAAATTATTCATTAAATCTTTTATCTCAAGATAATTTGTCGTATAATAGGGGGCCTAAACGGTAAATTGACCTTTTTTTTTTACTTACCCTTTAAAACGTTACATAACATTTCTATTACCCCTCCAATATTATATAACATTTCTAGCAATTAAATCCCCCCCCCCCACACACACACACACACTCTCACACAGAAAAATAATTTAAAAGACAAATCCAAAATAAGCATATTTTAAGCAAACAACTAGTCTAGAATTCATTTTTCTTCACAAAAATGTTATCATTATTGTAAATATTTAGGCAAAACATAATTTTTTTGTTTGTAATCATCTAGGCTTATTTCGTAAATTGCTCTCGACCCTCCTCCCATATACCACAATATTATAAAATGATAAATCACTCCAACCTCCTTCGCGTTTTATAATATGGGCATGATCCCTAAAGAAGGTGCAAAGAATACTAAGCAGAAGAGTAAGAAATAATTTATCTCCAAATATTACTATCTGGCAAATATCTGAGTAGCACATACTAATTAGCATCCGACTGAACACGCCCCTTTACCTTGCACAGGAGGAAAAAAAACAAACACAATTACATGGTGTCTGAAACTCATAGAATTTAAATTTGTATTAGATTGTTAACTATGAACCTCCTATACAAAATTTTAAAAAATGGCACGTTTGGGTGTATAAAAATGACATTGTAAATTATAAGTTAAGATAATTATACGAGTCTTAAGGAAATTTATTTAATGTGCATTGGTTTATTCACGTGGTTCATGACCTCATCGGGTCGAGGACTTTTCTCGTGACGTTAAAGCCATATCATGTATTGAAAAAAAATCAGCAGCAATGGGTTCTACTCTATAAGAAATACAATAGTTATTTACAGCTATTCACTTTGATAAGTATTATGTGTATTAGGGTATTTCCATACTGTTTTTGTCTTTAATAACATCCCTTATTTTGCAGTGACTATTTCTTTTAGCGGACATATACAATGGTCACATGACTAAAATTTCTTTCCCATCGCGATACCTCATTGGTTCAAAACCAAAACATAGTTGTCAATCACAAGACACGTGTTACTGGTAGTGCATGCGTTGTTTTGGTTGTGATGACCGAAACCGCCATGTTTTAACAAGTACAGTAGAAATTTTATTGGACCATAACTCCACTTTCGTAACTGTCTTTTCGGTGTATCATTTATTTGGCTTCTTCAGTTTAGCGGATATTGTTAGCTTCTTTCCATATATATGACTCTTATGGATCTACTCCTACAAGCAGCTAAAGTGTTGGAGTTGGAAAATTCGGATGTCAGTACCCATCGTCGTGTTACGTCTAAATCCACACGTGGTGAGTAAGCACATGGGCATCAATTGCATTCTTGTTTCTGATATCAAAAAGTGTGCAAGTGAGTTTACTAGAAAGCAACAATTTTTAAAGAAATATATTTATTTTTACGATGAATTGTATACATTGCGTCAACAACAAAAGAACTAAGAAATGACTGCCACTAGCATTAGTTAATTGTTTATTAATATTATTAGTTATTAGGACTATAATTATCAGATGGTAAGACACAGTACGGCGCATTGATTTTGAAAGAAAACTTGTATATTTCAAATAAACAAATTAAGATTTTGCCCCAACAATGACATATGTCTTGGAAGATAACTTTCTGGCTCACATAGTTTATTTGAGACTATAAAAGTAATCAAATGATACGATATTTGGCATTGCCTTAGTAAAATTAGACCGAGTGCAAAAAGATCAGCAGTCAGTGTCACGAGTAATTGTAGACCAAAAAGAGGACTACATTTTCTAGTTTTTGTTAGTGATAGTGGGTATCGTTATTTATTTTAATTTTTTTTATGCCTTTAAGGTAGCCCGCACTTAATTTAAAAATATATTTTATACCTTTATATTGGAATTTTTTCATAATTTACATGATTTGTATGTATAGATTCCATTTAATTTATTGTTTGTAAACTTAGACTTAGCATTTTAAAAAGTGGAGGTAGGCCCCTAGCCAAGGCCAAGGGGCGGGTCCAGTTGTGATAAGACAGTAGTGTAAGTAACTGGCTAAGTATAAGAAGAGTGAAGGCAAAGATGGAGCTAGAAAAATCCACACTGTACTTTTCTTCTTTTAATTTTTTTTTCTTCTATTAGTTATCAGAGTAGCTTTCAATTTGGAGGGTGGCGGAGTGTTGCGCGGGCGCCCACTTCGCCTAGAGGTATTGTTATCCATGCCAATAGTCAATAGCTAAACTAACTATAATAGTAATAATAGACTATATCAAGAATGTTAGTTTCTTATCAAGAAACAAAGATTTAGTAAGAGACATGTCACCACCAGGGCTGCCACTCACTTTTTTCAAATTTCCCAAGATGTGGTGAACAAATTTCCCAAGATTTCCCAAGATCATACAAATATATAAGAGCTTTTTTTTTAAAGGGGGGTTTTCTATGTAATTAATGTAATAATAGATTGAATCAATGCCCCTGAAAAACATGGTATATTAATGGACTGAAATTTATTGAAAAAGACATTTAAAACATGTTTATCACATTTATAAAAAAAACAATTTGTTTTTAAAAAAATAATTTATAATCCAAAATATCAATACCCACTGGAGTTAGGCTACTAAATATTACCTCCGAATTCTCTGATAAAAATATAATCTACAATACATGTGTAATAGAAGTCACTTGGAAAAAAAAAGCATACAAGGCTAATCAACACAGAATTCCTTTTACAAAGGCAAAAGTTTCTTCATCAAAAAATGATTTTTTATTATTGTAAATCTGTTGATTACAAGTGGGGTTTGCAAAGCAATTAAGCAAAATTTATTAATAATAATTGTAGTTAAAATGGATTGATATTACGATGAAAACAATAAGTGTTTTATTTTTTCTTGTAAAATTTACATTATAACGATTTTTTCACCAAAAAAAAAAAAATTTTAAAGGAATTGTTCATTTATAATCCTACAACGTAGGCCTATACTGCCTATACTATTAATATCTTAGTTACCCGTGTTTCAATCCACAAATATTTTTTCTAATTGATGAAAATTAGGCTGGATTTTTTACAGATGCATTATATTTTGAACACATTGTAGAAGTAATTGAAATAATAAAATTCTACTATGGCATGGATTCTTGATTGAACACTATCGTTCACTCTTTGGCTTGTACTGTTTTTCGTATGGTTGCTAATGTCTAAGAGCATAATGATAAAGTTTCCGAGCCTACCCCCCCCCCCATTTAATAAACATTCAAAACCTGGATGTAATTTGTAAATCTTCAATTTTTTTTTTAAAGAGAAAATTGAATTTTTTAAAAAAATTATTAACTTTTTAATAATTCACAATATTAACTTTAAAATCAGAAGAGTTTTTATTTATTTTATGAGTGGATTTAAAAATTAAAACCAGAAAAGAAAATGAAAACAATTAATTTTTTGCCTTGTTACTTTAAAAATTATTTTGCTTTATTTTTACTTTATTTTTTATCAGATATTGTTGCGTTTTTTTCGAAAAATATAACAAAATTTTCCCCCCAGTTAAGATTTCCCAAGGTTTTGCATGATTTTCAAAATTATTCCCCAGATCCCAAGGGGGGTCGTGAATTCCCAAGATCTTGGGAAATTTCCCAAGGTGTGGTAGCCCTGGTCACCACCCATCTCCAGTTATGGGTCTGTGAAAATAATGGCCCCTTGACTTTGATTCACAGGTCCAGATAAACATTAAGATTGTCTCTGGGCATAGGCAACAATAAAATATGTAAAATAGCTGTGCCCATAATTATAAAAAGCAGTTATTTCAAATAGGGTTCTTTGAGCCTTGCCCCATGAACTACTGCTAAATCTGTTCCTGAAAAGTTAAAAGTCTTGAAGTGTGGTGGAATTCTATTAAATAACTGCCAACTAATTAGAATAATGGCCAAACAAATTAATAGTTGTATAACTTTAGGGCATTGTAATTGTGTAATTCAATTCAATAAGCTAGAATTTTATCAGGACCCAGGTTTTATGTTAGGACTGACTGAACACAAAGTATGCAGGCCCTAGGGTTGGTCATTCAAGTACTCCTTGCCTTGTCTTTTCTTTGTAGTGATATTGACCTCATCCTGCCACATCCCTCAGATGGAATTTAAGGTCTTTTCCCCTAAGGACTAACAAGTCTTTTTCTTATGGCCGATAATGATTTCTCAGGGCCTGTCCTATAAAGCTCCTCTAGCAAGTTTTAATTTATATTTAAACATATATTTATATGGGGGGAGGTGAGAAAATTGTGAAAAGCTACTCTTTTTTTTAATTCATGAAATGTGTTAAATTTTAGGTGAGATAAAAATTTGTGATTTAATAATATTAAAAAAAAGATGTTTCTAACAATTTTTCCATATGGAAGAATCACAGCTTGCCTTTAGTATTAAAAAATAAAAACAGTTATATTTTTGTTTTCTCTTTGTGTGATTACATTTCTCTATGGCTGCAACTATTCGTACCCGGGTACCAGAAGTGAGAGGTTGGGATTAAAAAAACTATTTAAATTTTATTGTTGGCTTTGTAAGACAAAATGAGGTATCAAATGAAAGATAATTGAATGGGCTATATGTTTGTAAACTTAATTCTTCAGTTTAACTAATATAAACTACCATAAATGACATCCGAATAGCTTGAGTCTAATGGTACCCGGGTGTGAATGGCGGTGCTGCATGTCTGGGTCCATTTTGACTCAGTGCTATTCGGATGCCATTTGTGGTAGTTTATTTGAGTTAAACTGAAGAATTAAGTTAACAAATATATAGCCCATTCAATTATCTTTCATTTGATACTGCATTTTGTCTTACAAACCCAACAAAAAAAAAATTTTAATAATTTTTTAATCCCAACCTCTCACTTCTGGTACCCGGGTACAAATAGCCACTTTGTTTTTTCTATGTCCCTTCATTCATAAAATGTTTCAAAACATTTGAATTTTGTCATCTGACAAAAATTTGACCAACTCAGAACCATCTATTTCTTTCAAGATTTGTACAAAAGCACATGATTACTACCTTTTGTTGGCATATGAATCAATATCAATGTGCATGAATTGAAGATGTAGTAAATGCCTCAAAATAATTTTGAAATGCAGGAAGGATTCTTGTAGAATCCCTTGAAATTAGTGGGAAATGATTACCTATCTTACAAGTGGTTTGAAACTGTTACTACACCTGTTTGTTACTCAGCTTTTTTTCAGTTTCCCCTTTTTTGCTTAAAATCAAGTGGGAAAAGCTAGCGTGTCTATACTAGCAGCATTTTTTGTTCCAGGAGCTCATTTTCACCAATATGCAAAATCAAGAAGTGATAACAGTGAGAATTCAGATGGCTCAGCTTCTTACGGTGAAAATGGCGCTGGTGCTAGTGAAGATGATAATCCTTTACCCCAAAGGAGAAGAACAGGAGGGTAGGTTGGTTATTCAAACTCCTACCTTATGATCGTATTTCTCTGAATATGGGTCTTTTTTCTAATAGGAAATATCTTACTCAGTTTGAAAACAAAAATGAGTTTACATTATAATGATTAATTTTGAAATTTAATAATTCAATTAATTTTTTTCTTATATTCTTATTTGTCCGATCTTGAAGCATGACAAAAATGAATGGTGATGTGATTTAAAGAAATCATGGTTTTAAAACATAAATACTGAAAAAGACATTTTTAATCAGTTTAATATTACTCCCACAAGAAAACGCTATTTATCTTTGTGTCCTCGTGGTGCACCCTTGATTTGCTACTTTGCATAACTATAGAAGAAATTTGTCAAAGTTGTGTTTTACACAATTTCTTTTTAACATTTTAATTGAATCTTCTTGTTGATTGAAATAGAAAAAGTGCTGATCCCACCGGATCTAAACGTCAATATAGTCGCAGGATCAAACAACTTATCCACCCATTTACTGTGTAAGTAAAGATTTACTATTTCAACATTAGTTTGTACAATTATTTATCTTTTTAAATAGATGAAACTAATTAAGTCCTCTTTAAAATCAAAATCATTCTATACAAAATAAATCATATTTATAATCCTCTAACTGTGATTTTTTTATTTTTTTTACAAAATAAAGAGAATCCTTTATTCTACTGCTGTTGAGTATATTTAAAAAATCATTGCCACTGCTAAGTATCATATTAGTAAATATTTATCACCCTATAAATTATTTTACAAAATGCATTTCCAATCTGGGCTACTATTCAAAATTAATGCATTGAAAAAAGTTAGTAAACCAAGAACTTGTAATGAATTCATACTGTCATTTTCACTACAGCCAAGTCCTAAGAGGGTTGATTGTAGGCCTAAAAAAGTGTTTTAAGTACATTTAAAGTTTACTTTACTACAACACAATCTTAGAAATTAATTAATAATTTTACCTCACAGAGCAGGAACAAGAGAAGTTCATAATCAGTTAGAAAAGAATAGGTAAGTTATAGCAATATTACATTTAAGTAGACGAGATAAACTAACTGAAAGCAATAAATATATTATATTTGAACCTCTCTACTCCTGGTTGATTTTTCTAGACCTGTATAAACACATCTCTAGAACTAAGGCTAGATTTGAAAGTTTCTGATAAAATATTATTTCTGCAAGGCGAAAGCAGCTCAGGGAATGTTTCAACCACCTGCAACAATGTGTTCCATCTCTGGAGAACAAGAGAGTTGCAACTCAGTCGATTTTGCAGGGAGCCATCAAACATATAAAGGTAAGGAAAGTTAAGCCTTTTTTAAAAAATAAAAAAAAACATTTTAACCTTTTTGTTACTGATGACATCAAAGCGACGTCATGATAACCCACTTTCAATTACCAAGGACGCATATTGTCATAACAAAGATTCAAAGAACTCTTCTGAAACACCAAGGACGTCACGTCGATGTTATATTTCAGTGCTATATATTTCTTTATTCGTTAATCTATAGAAAAGTTAATAAGCTAATCGGATAGAGTGAAATAATACCGGAAATTTCATCTTTAAGTTTTTTTAATTGCAGAGTCAGCAAAAATTGATGCCCAAAACCAGCGGTAATGAACGGGTTAATCATTTTTTAGTCATATTTTGTCTTTCATGGTGAGGCGAATCTAACAGAATGTTTGAAGCCTGTTAAGTATGTATAAATGAATGAAACTTTCTTTTATTTTAAGAATTTGAAAAAGAAAGATGTAGAACAAGAGAGAGAGATTCATATGCTGGCCAACAAAAAATGTGAGCTCAAGAAAAAATATGACTGTGAGCTAAACAAGTGCTCGGAAGAGCAGCAACGTTTGGCAGATGTCTTCCTCAAGATAATGAAATCTGAAGCTGATGATTGTGAAGATAATGGTCACGTATCAGACTCAACAACAACGGCATCAGGTAACCTATTTCTTATTCAACAAGCCAGTAGTGCGTTTACGGGAATCTATGTAATAGATGTGCTTGCAGGAAGCATTAAAAAAAAATAAGTTGTTAAATGAAAAGGTAAAAGTTGCCATTAGTCAAAGTGCAGTCATATTCAAATATTTTTAAAAAATAATGTGATATTATAATTTAACTTTATTTTTGTTTTTAGAAGGACCAGAGCTGAGTGATGATGAGAGAAAACCAATGAACAGTTTTGCTTTGGCTTCAAAGGTGGAAGGTTCAAGGAAGAGGAAACTAGGACCTAGAGCTACATTAGGATATGGTAATGGCGAAACTTTTTATAAGCTCCTAGATTAATGAATAATATTGTGGAGACTGTGTTCAAGCTGTGTGCAGTGAATTATTAAGAATATGGTTTTTTAATTAATTTTTTTGTGTGGGGTTGTGTGTGTGTGAGTGATTCAACAAAACAATAAACTAGAAAACTTCTTTTTCTTAAAATAAAACAGAAAAATAGAAAAGAAGAAAGTAAGCTTTAAATGAAGTTGGCCTCAAAATAAAAAATTATCAGGAAGGGAACAAAGTAAGAATTATGGGAAGGGGGAAGGGGGGGGGGGGATAATAGGAAATGACTAAAGTTTGCAGGCAAAAAATTAATCTAAATTTTCTTTAGGGAATCTTTTTTAAATCCCACACCAAGTGGTTGTCTTTCTTTTTTACTCAGGGTTTACCTTCTGCCCCTCAAAAAGCTTGGGTAGGACTCAGGACAAATTATATTACAATAATAATAATAGAACTATACTTTTTTTTAAAGTATATATTTTTGCTGACACATTAGATTGGAGAAAATGTGGTTAAGCAGTTTTAGTCAGAGTTAACACCCTATTGCTTAGGCAGCGTTTGGGAATATTATACCATGTTATTTTTTTAGAGATTGTATTTTTATTTATTAGCTGGGAGATCAGAGAACCTTGCAGCCAGCCACAGCTCTGGGGGGATATCTCAACAGGTCAACAGTAAAGCTTCAACTGTTTCATCATCTTCCATGGCCTTGAAGCACATGTTAGAACAGAGGAAAAAGAACAAAATGAGTGTTGCAACTCAAGGTCTGTTATTCTTATTGTATTTATTTTTGCAAATAATTGAAAAGAATAAGGGACCGTAAATAAATACAATATATACAAACATTGGAACAGGATTGTTTGGCAAGATCATACTATGTCACAAAAACCTGCCCAGGAAAATATTTGTCATAAAATCTTTAATCCTATGCTGTCATAATTTAATGAAACAAAATGAAAAACTAGTTTTCATCATTTGACCAAACATTGTGTGGGTGTGTGTTTTGGAAAAGACAATAATTTGCAATTGGTAATGTGACTGTATTTGTTAATCTCTTAAAAAAGTAATTCCCCCTTCATAATAGGAAATGATTGTCTTAGGTTTTGTCAATTTATTTTATTTTTATTCTAGGTAAACCCAGTTGGCTAGATAAAATTAAGAAGCCAGCTGCACCTATGACAAAAGGCCCTATGAAGTCTGTGAGCTCCCTGACCTCTAGTTATCCTATGATAAGTACACACTTGGCTTCAGGGCTGAAACCAGCCATATCATCAGTTGGCCACATAGCTGTTACTGCTAACAACAGCCACCTGGTCACACAGGCAGCGGTGGCCAATATTAGTGTTTTGGGAAACAATCTCACAGCTGCAGCCAATTCAGCTCCCACTGCTATAACTCCAGCAAGTACGAAGCGAAGAAAAGCTCCTGTAAATAATGACAACACCGTTCAACACACTTTGTTAAATCAGCACACAGCCTTACCGCAGACTACATTTAAAAAACAGTACAGAGCTCCACCTTCAACAATGGCATTACAACAGTCTATTGGACCAGCTATAAAGCTTTCTGAGGCTAACTCAGTTGACCAATCTCAATTGGCTGCAGCACAGACAATAAATGTTGACATTCAAAACATCAGTTACCTTGGTAAGAACATTATTGGAACCAACACTGGGACCCTTGCAATGGCACCAATATCTCAGTCCCTTGAAGGATCCAAGTTGTTGTCGGCTGTATCGCTTGCATCTTTTATTCGTAACCTTCCTATCAGCGCAGTTGTGCCCCCTGTTGTTTCACTGGCTCCCACCCAGATAACAATGGCACCATCCTCACAGGGATCCACAACCCCTGTGTCTTCTTCACTGTTAACCAATCAACTACGGCCGGCTCTAAATGCTAACCTGCTGTTTACAAACACTAGTAAGTCTGAAGCTAATCAACTAACAACAGTCCCTCTGTCAAACAACACTGCCAGGATAGCCACTCTGTTAGCTGCTCCTTCTCCTCATCTACATAAAGGGGTTTTAAAACCAACTTCATCTTTACCTAATTCATCCTCTTGCCAGATTGTTGCATCTCCCTCATCCTCCACGCTAACTCTTCATGATAACATGAAGACTATGACGTTGACACCAACATTGCTGCCCATATCTTTAAACAATGGCTCCTTATCCAACAGTTCCAACTCATCTGGGACACAACTGAGATTTTTCACCCCATTTTCCCACAACTCTGTGATGGCCGCTTCCCTGGGGAATGGCCAGACCATGCTGCCTGCCATGCTGCAGCTGGGAGCCTCTGGTCAGGTGCTCCTGCAGAATCTGATTCCCGCCCAGCATGTCCCTCACCATCAGCTACTTGGCCAGCCCATCATGGTCATGACCACCCCTGGAGCCAGTTATAATGTAACATCTGCCGGTGGCACTACCACAACTGTTTCATCTCCGTCGACTGTCTTATAATTAACCTAATTGAGGTGTTCGCAATGTGCAAGAGTCGGGCTTTTTGATTTTATCAAGATCATTTCAGTTAACAGAGATTTAAGCTAGCACAGTTTTTAAAAAAATATAACTTCAATGAATGGAGATGGAAGGCTTTATATGATTGCTTTTGTTTTTAGAAATGGGTTTTCTCTGCTACATGTACAAGTTATGTTTTAATTGTATTTATCTAAATTCAACCAACAACTTATTGGTTTATTTTCCAAACCAAGCCAGTGTTATCTCACTTCTTGACTTGAATTTCATTGGCTTACACCTAATTTTTGCTTATGTGATACAATAAAGTTGTTGGATACTCAATTCATGAGAATGAGAGCGGTTTAAAATATTACCTTTATATAAAACCTCAAGTTAGAGAAATGAATGACTCAAGAGGAGAATGTAAAAACTTTATTCTTGGGGATTTCCTCATCTTTGCCACTATTCTTAGCTTTTCAATCTATTTTTCATCATAAAGTGAAACACTAACAGATTTAAACTGTTTGGTAGCCATTTGTTAACTATCAATTGAAACTCTCTCCCAGGGACATCTGTACTGTTACTTTGGATCAGCATGAAGGATCATACTTATGATCTTGTTACATGGTGCCCACTTTGGTATGCCACTCTCTTCTCAAGAAATGAACATGTAATATACTATTGTGAATTTCTTTGTACTGACCATTAGTTTGTTTCTTTATCACAGCAACTATAACTTATAGGTAACATATACACAATGCATTGTTGTTTGCTTTATAGAGTGAATTGTGATATAGGGAGAGAAATCTTGTTTGAGACACAATGTGCCATAGCTATTAATGTTAACAATAAAACAGTTTATTTTAGGAAATGAGGGCAATTACAATTTATATATAACCATATTGCATATTGGGACATTTTTATAACTTCATGCCCTTCAGTAATAACTCCTTTAAAAAAATTGACCTCTAACCAATTATAAACCATGTTTTTCTTTCTAACTTATCCATTTCCTTTTTGCTCACAAAGGACAACATTCTGAAACTAATTGTGTAAGATGTGTACTGAAAAGCTGTTTTCTCCTTAACACCATGGAGAGCAGTATGGTACATAAATGTCAGATACATTTGACAACATTGTTTGCACTGACCAATCAAAGACAGTGGTTTACCAAAATTAAAGGCAAAGTTTTAATGTTTCAGAGAAATTATCTGCAGCTATCACAGGCAAGTTTTAGAGGAAGTTTTTTCTCTTGAAGTTGTTAGTTTCTTTTTTTTAAGTGCATGTTTTTTCATGGAAGTTATTGTCATCTGTTATTAACCCAAGAATTGTGACATTCCATGTTCATTCAAGTTCTCTGACAGACAGTAATTTGTAACTACCTGTATCCAAAAGTAGTTTATCTCTAATGCAATTGAAAGATAAAAATCTCTTTACAGAAAACACATACTACTAAGCATTAGATAATTCCCATGAAAGGACTCAAGTTTTAATTATTAAAAAAATATCTCCAGTTTTAAATAAATTTGATGACTTTTGGTTTGTTAAAAAGACCTTATAATATTAATAAGAAGAATTTCTGCATTTGCTGCGATTTTTGTTTATACAAAATGGGAAATATGCACCCAAAAAAATGCATTAATTTTTTTTTTAAAGGAGATTTAAAAGCTTTTTTTTTAAACTTACATAATTTAGTGATTTCGTTTAAAATGAAAACAGACTTTCCTTCCTCAGATTTTTTTTGTATGCATAATTTTTTGCAGAGTCTAAAGAATGAGTGAGACCTATGCCCTCACATTCAAAATTAGATGCGTTTGATGTTCATTGTATTTCAATCTAGGCTAAATTGAACACCTAGTCAAACAGGCTTTAATTTTAGCTTTATTACAGTTTTGTTATTAGCATCTCGTCAGTATTTGTTATTCTACTAAAATAATATCTATATCTATAAAATATTATATCTAATATTAATATTTTAATTATTTCTCTTTGTACTTAATATAAACTTCTTTGTAAAGGAAAAGCAACATTTGAAAATGTAAATTTGATATAATTTTCAAAATTTCTTACCAAGTCTTTTGCCTGGAAATGTATAAAGTAACTTACTTCACCCACCCATAGATGTTTATAGAAACTTAAAAATTTTGTTCATTACTGATGAGTGGATTAAATGTTTTATGTTTAGAAAAATGCCTGAAAATGATTAGAAATTTTTGAGAGAAAAAACTAATGTGCTTGTCCAAGTCCCAGAATTACCTGACATGCTTGTTTGAATGTTTTGACACATTATTGTAATAACATTTCATTAAGAAAGATTTGCACTGGACATAGTACAGAAATTTGGAGTGTCCAATGGAGGTTTTTGGGAAAAAAATTTAAGTAATTAAAAGATGAATCTTATTCATTTATTTAAAAAAAACGGTTCAATTGTTGGGTGCGTATAATTTGTATACTGTAAATTTGAAAGGTTTTGAAGTGGGGCAAATAACTGAGCTTTTTTTTTTTTTTTTAAATTAAGAATATTTGATCAAACTAGAATCTAATTATTATATTGCTCTTAATAATTGCAACATGTTTGAAAGCAAGTTATGTGATAAAGGTATTTATATGAATTTGTGTCATATGGTTATGGACATCATCCAGGCCAGTTCATCATGTTTTCATTAACACTGTAATATCATCCATAGATATCTCACATTATGTAGTAGCTTTTCATGATTGGTCTGTATAGGCATTCTCAGTCTTGTTTTTTTTTAACCTTTATATTAACTTCGCTTTTGCTTGTGGCTGGCAAGCTAACTGACCCACTTCTCATTAATCTATCGAATTAAAACTTGGCACCTGGACATTCTTTTAAATTTTCAGCCACAACCTCCACCCAAGGGGAAGATGACACTGATATCATGAAATAAAATTCCCATTAACTGCGCTATATTATATATTTTTTTAATATAGTATTTCATTTTCTAGAGTAGTTGGTGAAATAAATCTGGTGTGAAAATGGGTGTGTCATTAGCATATTAGGGGTGTGTTGCGAGCCTTGGGGGGCACTAATTGGGATTCTTATAAAATATGTTACTGGTTTTGTCAAATTTTCAGCTAGGCCCCACTTTCCCCCATTGCTCAATATATTTTATAAAGGATTTATATGAACAAGTTGTTTTTTTTAAGGTTTAATTTCCTTTTATTTCTTAATGAGCTAAGTGAACGTTTTAGAACTGTTCCCTCATGTTAACAGAAGCTGATGGTACAATTTAATACATTTAAATGTTTTATCATCCTGAATTGATTTCAAGTTTGATGTTTTTTACCCTCTCCAAATATTAAAAATACTAAATGAAACAGTTATTCTTTGGAACCAAGGAGTCCTTCCATTAGCTCTTTGAAGTAAAAATTGAAGTAACATTTAAAATTTTAATTTCCAAGACAATATCATTTCAATTTGCTTTGTTGCAGTAGTTTAATTTTAAAATGATAGTAATATCAATTATTGAAATTAGATACCAGTATGACAAATGTTTTTTTTAATGCAATCTTCAGAGCTAGAAACTAAAAAAATTATAATTGTTGATTCCTTTTAATGTCATCTAAGTGTATTAATTATAATGTCATCTAAGTGTATAAATTATCACATCATTGAAGGTATTACTTATCACAACTGTTTTATGGCAGTATAAATGACTGCCAATGTAAATTTATGTTAGAGTATAAAGTGTGTTTTACCTAATCAAATTATTTGGGGACCACAGATTGAGAAATCATTTTGTTAAATAAAAATGCACCCACAATCTTTGTGATGCAGTCATGCAAATTACATTTTTGCTAATTGATATCCACTGCAACTCTTGGACTGCAAATAATGCAGTAACCTCAGTGCCACCTCTCATGACTAGTTTCTAATCTAAGAGCCAAATCCATAAAGCAAACTTGTTCATTATCTCACTAAATCCGATAGATAGAAAATAGATATTCAGCAGCGCACAATACAATAATGGAGCAGGGATTTTTCATGTTTAATGTAATTTTTATTTCTTTCATCATATTGATGTGACTAAAATGTGTATAAATATATATGCATACTGATAGCCACTTACATAAGCTATTAACATGTGGTGTATTCTTGAAACTAATTGATGCAACATTTAATGCTTCTTTTTTTTTTTTCCTCTGTGATATCATGTTGTTTTTTTTGTGTCTCATATTACCAAGTAATATTTGTAAATAATAAAAAAAACTTGATTTATACAAATTTGTTTTCTGTGTTTAATTTGCTGCATAATATATTACAATTGACAATGAAGAAGAAAAAAAAGTGAGACTAGTGTCAGATTTATGAAGCACAATTTTATTAAAATAAAGTTACATTAAAATGTATAATTGCCAACATATTTAATCCAAAGCACCTATTATAGACATGGATTCTCCATCCATTTGCTCTTTTGACCAAACATTTTTTCATTACATAAAATAATATGAAAAGTTAACAGGAAATTATTTTATAAGTGTCCAGTGTATTTTAACAGGTTTATCATATTAAATAAACCTGTAAAGATGTTTTACAAATGAGAGTGGAATGCAGACATAATTATGCACATCACTCATTAAAATCACAAACAAGAAGACTTTGGTCAACTGTGCTCTTACAACATGCCCAGCTGTTTTGCATAGTGCTGCCCATCACCTCTTGTAGCAGTCTAAAGACAAAAAAAACAGCATTTTGATAAAGTGTTGTATACAAACTTTTTTTAAATATGCATCCTTAGCATAAAGTTTTAAGTTTTGGGTATGAAACTTCTTTTAGTTTGAATACACCTCTATCATTGGAGGTCAAAAATTGCTGAATCGAAGGTTTGGGCAAATAATACAAATTAAAAAGGGAATAAAACTCTCCTCTGACCTGTATTATCTAAGCATAATCTCAATGATAAACTAGTATTAGCCCACTCCATTTCTTCATAGTACATGCTTACCTTATTAATTTCTAGATGCCTGTTTTTGGTCACAATTTCCTCTAAAACTTCCCCATCTCCTTTAATTAATCTGAAAATGATTTAAAATGCAATGCACCTTAACATAATTCTCTAGACCAGCACATAAATTATACTGTGTTTGTGGCTTGATCTTAGAGGTTAAGGACACTTTCTGACAAAAATGTTCTTTAATAATATAAATATATGTAATTGTAAATAAACATTTTGATCAAGTCACATTTATTAATATTAAAGATCACAGCCTTATTTTCCTTTTTAATGACTCTATTTTTTTTAATTGTTTGCTGATTTTTAGAAATAAGATAAAAACATAAGAAATGGACAGAACAATTATACATGAGTTGGCCAACCATCATTAACTATGTTATGATGCATCTCTGTGCAAAGCTTCCTTAATCATACAAGTTTGTCTGAAACTTGCATTCTTGATGGCCAATGCTGGGGTTTGTCAGCATTGTGGCAAACTTAAAGGTAAATTATGCTGCCATAATTTGGATCACCCAACTGTTTAATAACTTTGATAGAGGGCCATAAAAAGTGCAAAAGATGATAAAATGCACCACTACTGTCCAAGTTAAAATTTTTCTATAAGACCCTCTCTGGATAAAGCCATGGGGAGGGCTGTCAGTTGTATGTATCCCTGATGCTACACATGCTTGATAAATAGGACGCTATGGATAAAAAAAATACCAAAAGATTTCAAAACTACAAAAATATTATCTATATATATAATTCGCCAGAAACTAGAGCAAAGACTAGCGCGATGCAGGCTGTATATAGAACCCTCCCTTCCCTTGCCTCTCGCTTGCCGGCCATGCACACACCCCAACAAGCTCTGAGCCAGTCTCATTGCTCTCTTCTTTGAACCTCGTTCACTCGCGTTGTTATGATTTCTTCATGCTGCTGTTTGTGCCCGTTCTTTTCCCCCTTTCTTTGCGAACATGGCTATCGCTTCGCATGTATTTCATGGAAACAATGCTTCATTCACTGTTATACCAATTCCTGCATCAGGTAACTGTTTCTATCGGTCGCATATTTCTGGAAAAACGAAACTGTTGCTCTTCAACTTCGCAACATGGCTGTAAACTTTGTTTCACAACATTGGGATAACTTCGGCGACGTACTCTCCGTTGTTCTCAAAGACGGAAACGTACATGAATTCTTCTGGAGTATATGGTGGCGAGGCAGAAATTGTCACGATGTCCGAAATACTTCGCGCCACTATCATCAGTTTCCGCACAAACTGTCCTTATTCCCCGGATTTCCCTCACATCATCAGATTCAAATTTACCTTTTACTGTTACACGGCGACAATTTCCTCTTCGATTAGCCTCTGCAATGACAATTAATAAGGCACAGGGACAAACTTTCAAAAATATATGCCTCTATCTACCAAAACCGGTCTTAAGTCACAGACAGTTGTATGTAGCTCTCTCCAGAGTTCCATCTTTTCACGCAATCACAGTTGTATCCTCAAACCCACCCCATTTGGACAACTGTGTCTTTCATGAAGTCTTCACTCATCTATGAGCAATTCTGCGACGTAAGCTACGCCGCGGGTCGGCTAGTTAGAATTAAATACCTAATCTTACACTACTAACAAGCCAGAATACCATGAAATTAGTTGCTTTTCATATTTTAAGAGACATTCACATACCTTTCCCTGCCAGTTTCCTCATCATAAACCCTCCTTATTATGCTCTGTTGTTTCTCCCATTCCTCTCTCGTCATGGGTTTTATGACACGTGGTTTTGGACCAGATCTTCGTCCAGTAGGAACTTGGCAAAACAAAGTATGGACACTAATGTTAAAACAGTAGAATAAATACATGTTTAATTTAACGTTACCACTAAAATACATTTAATCTGATGTAAAGGAACATTATTCTGTTTAACCTAACTATCTAAGTTAATTTCCAACTGTTCTAATCAAACAGACAAACCAGTACAGTCACAATAAAATGTACTCATTATTTCATTAGACTATGTGGGTTTGGGCTTGTCCATAAAGTGCATTACACCCAGGGGGGTGGGTGTGTGTGTGTGTGGGGGGGGGGGGTTGTCCAAGAAAGATTTATGACAGATTTTGATTGGGGGTGGGGGGGGGGGGAGAGATGGGATATAGTGTGACCAACTTTAAGGACACCCCCTTATGTCTCAATGAGCTTCTATTAAAATGCTATTTAAAAGCAATCAGAATATCTTGAAAAGGCTTCTTTTTTTTTATTTGAAGATAAAATAAATATTAAACAAATCAGGATTTGTTTAGTGTTCAAGTGTCTTCATTTTAGATATGTAAGTAGAGTTAAGTGAATAACTAATTAGTGTAGAGCACAGATTTCCAACCCATGGATCATGACCCCAAATAGGATCACAGAGGTTTTTCTGTTGTGTGACACACTGAAAGATTCAACTAAAAAAGAAATGGAAAAGGCCTACACATGTTTTTTATCTAAGGCTGGAAATTCACCTAGTAAAATTATTTTAGCAGCCTGAGTTGAACTGGTTAAATTTCAAATTTGATAGTTTAATGTAATAATTCTATAATATTTTTATTTAATGGTCATCTTACCGTCTTCATGCTGGGCATCTGGTGAATTTTTTTCTTTTACTGGAAGCTGCAATTCAACAGCGATAACTTTTGTTTCTCTCTTGCATTTTTCTTTCTTTTTCTTCTTCTTTTTTTTCTTTTTTCTTTTTTTTTTTCTTTCAGGAGATGATGATGATGAAGAGGCTGATGAAGATCGTGATCTTCAAAAAAAGCATTAATTCAAATAGGGCATTGTTGCTTTTTATTTAATCTTAAGTTAAAACAACACTCTAAATTTCAATAAATTATAACTTGCAATTATTTCATTTTAAGACACCGTTAATGTGTCAGTACAATATGTGAGATGTTAAGTACCGGTAGTACAAACAAGTTTTTAAAAATTGTGACCAACTTCATTCCTTAAAATTAATTACACCTCCCAAAAGTATTTACTGAATTAGTCCTGGCCCCAATAAATGAGAGTCAATGATTTCAATGAACTACCATATATGAACTAATTAGTACAGTATTACAAAGTGGTTTACACAAATAAGTTTGGGGTAAAGTTGTATTTTAGCGTTGGTAATTAGCAAAATTAACAAACATTTTTAAAAATAATTAAAACCATTTAAAACCAGTTTACGGTTTATTCAGTGACACAATAGTGAAAACGCATGTTCATTTATCTATAATTGTCAGCCAAAGTGATGATCAACTGTGAAAATAAGTCTACATCGCCAAAGTAACAACAATAAGCAAACTCGTGAAATAGGACGGAAAAAGAGCACGACTAGTCCCGAATTGTCTCTTCAGTTTGTGCTTAGCCCGCATCCACATATTCTGAATGTTCTGTGTGTGGACTTTGGGTCAACAAAGTTGTGTTGATGGACAACAACTGAATGTTGATATATTCCACCTCCTATCTTGTTGACTTGCGCATAAGCTGCCCAAATGTCAGATATGATTTGAGAACCTGGAAAAACATGCTGATGTATACAAGGCTGCAAAGTTGCTGCATTTATGTTCGGGACTTCAACCAGAAAGCATGAATATTTATTCATTTGAAAAAAAAAAAATTTTAAATACAAACAAATTTTTTTTTTTTAATTAACGACTCTAAAATACAACATTACCAAGTTTGGTACTGGTAGTGTGGTCAGCCTACTCAAACTCCTTCAGATTGGAGTCCGACACTTCAATACCATAATAAAAAAGACTTTGTAATTGTACCAATGAAGAACACTGCTATCACTGTTAAGTGCAACTGATTGACAGTGCTGTATTACTAGTAATATTAATATAATTTAGTCTTTAGTATACAAAGTAAATAAAATATAGTTCCTTCAAACTATAAGTAGAAGTAGGCCTACATAGTAATGTAATCAGTGTAAATCAGTGAGGACAATGTTTACACACCTTTTCTTTTTTTTCTTGGGCGTTTTACTTTTCTTTTTCTTATAAGAGTCCTTCTTAGAACTTGACTTCCTTCGTTTCTTTCCTCGTTTTGACGATGATCTAGATCTTGACGATGAACTCGATGAAGTGCTACTACTAGAGGACATGCGCTTTTTTTTACTTCCATTGCGATTATCATCTGTTTGATCTGACTCAGAACTAGAGCTAGATGATGTTGATGATGAAAAATGTCGACTCTTTTTTCTGCTCTTTAATTTTGATCGAGACTTTCTCGCAGTCGATTTATCATCCATATTGAATATTGCTGTTTCGTCTGCTTGTGGTTGTAAGAACTCGGAAAAACCTCCAAGATGTCGACTTTATATTGTATAAGCTCTGTTGAGTTTTCAATGCCATAGGCAGAAGGCTGCAATCTAAAGTATTGGTTACGTTTGTGCTTTTTTTTTTCTAGTCATCCTAATTACCGATACACATCAAATTTATTTGAAACATATTAATAACCAACATTATTGGTATTAATAGTCAAAAGTGTAAGCGTAGGCCTACGAGAAATATCGATGTCCACGGCCACATTGAGTTGGATTTTGCAAAAGAAATTCTGCATTTCATGTATTTCCTGTCACAATTTCAAGGCGACCGTCATAACCCAGCAAACTAGCGCCCAACATCCCTGACCTCCGTCCTATGAAAAATTCTAGAACACATCATCTGTCGCCACATCATGAACCACCTCGAACACTACAACATTTTGACTAACCTAAACCACGGTTTCTGCTCTGGATTCTCAACAGAAACCCAATTAATCATCACCACCAATGACCTCCTTGCCTCCTATTACAAATGTATCCAGGTCCACATGGCAATTCTCGATATGGCAATTCTCGATAAAACTCCATAGTTTTACAGATCAAAATCAAGTTATTACATGTCAAAATACGCCTTTGAAAAAATTGTGTTCTTGTTTAAGGGTAATAAGGGAAGAGACTGCAATCAGGTTAGCACAATATAAAATGAATAAACCAAAGCAGGGTTAAACCTGAAAAAAAGAACGCAACAAAACAACGAACGTGTCGACAGGAAGCCTTCGTCAGCCAACAAAACAACAGAAAAAAACAGTATCAAAAAAAAAATTACACTTAGCTTGGAGGTAGTATCCATGGGCAGCAAAAGAATTGTGATAGAAAGTAAGTGAGTGAGAGATTAAATAGGGAAGAGGGAAAGAAAAGAGGAGAAGTAAATTCACTGCTATAGGTTGGGACCTGGACTGGCTGACCTAGCTAGAAAATATGTAGAGATACAATAATCTTTATTTTACAATTAAACATGTAATGGAGACACCACCCAAGCACATTTATTCACGTTTACATAGTAACATAGTTTGTATAAATATTTGTTTATTCAGGGTAAATGGAACCAAACCGAAGTCTCTTCATACTTTCTTTTGGTTTCTTTTATGTCAGTTGTATGGCATATCGCGTAATTAATGTTTAATCACTTGGTATGTAACAATAACTTTTAGGGCCTATTAAACCTACTTGGATGCCCTATAGTTATTTTAGAGACAATAAATTATTTTAATTTTATTTTTTAAAATGTATTTTTTTTTTAATTTTACGTTACAATAGTTGTAGCTATCATTTCAAATATGTCGGGCGTAGGCATAACAAATGTCATGAGCTTCCTTAGTAGCGGAAGTTGACAAATAAGCGCGTCAAAATGGCGAATCGAAAAAACGATCTTTCACATTAATTTCTATGGTATGCATGATATACATTCAGCAGCGAATCTACAATGTTAATTCTTATAACTTATGTTATTTTAAACAAATCATTTAAATCTTAGTATTGACAATAATGATATTAATTTTGATGTTCTTGTCCTTTTTAGATTGAGTGGTCCAAATACTCAGCATACTAATCCTGTCAGTTTGAGTGTTCAGTGTTACACACAGTACACTCACTGAAGATAACTATACTGAGTTACTGAGTACTTGTTAAGTGTGAGTAGTAGTAGTATCAGCAGCGAACATGTCTAATTAAATTGAAAATTTTAAATGACATGAACCTGATGATGGACAGCACTAACATTACTTTTATCACTGCATCTGAAGCCATAGAGCAACAATTAAAGACACTTGGTTTGTGGGAGTTCCCTTGTGGACCAGGCTCATGGGTATTAAAATGATTATATTAAATAATAATTAAATGCATGTAAATTTTTAAATAAAATAACATTACATAATCAAAAGTCAAAGTTTAAAACTACAAGCTGTCTAAAATTTATTAATTAGAATGTAAGCTTGCCAACATTGCCACCAATAATATACTTTAAATACTTGCACATTTTTAAGCAAATAAAAAGCAAGTGAAACATTTTTCAGCGTGAACCTCAACCAATTTCAAAGTTACCATCAAAGAAACAAAAATCAAAGTTTAAAGAAGTAAAATCTACAGTTCCAGAGAAAGTTGACTGTTCTGAAATAGAGAGAATAAAATGTATGATTTTTTTTTAAATTGTGTTCTTTCAATCTTTACATTCTTTAGGCTTTAGGTTTCAATTATTTCAAAATTTATAAAGTAGCTAGCAGATCTCTTTGTAAAATAAGGAACCATGTCCATTATGAAATTTTGTTTCTTGAATAATGATGAATTAAAGATCATCTTTTTGGATTATTTGTTTTATTTTATTTTAAAAACAGTGATTTAAGGAAAAAAATGTTGTTGTTTTTGCAAAATGAAGATAGTAATTCCTAATAAATTATATTTTCTTTTAGTGTTGGCTGAAAAAGAAAAAACAGAAGCCTTGCAGGAACTTGTTAATTCACAATTTTCCCCGTGGCATATTGACTATACCTGGAGTAATGAATCCAATGAGCTGAGAGAGATAGCAGTGAAAACCCCTTGGCTTCTTAATGCAGATTTTGTATTGAGTTATTTAAAAACTGTCAGAATTTGTGATAAAAATGTAAATATACTTTGAATGACAAAGATCATAAGCCACTGACTTAACAAAATATTGTAAAGTAAATAATAGATGTTACCACAGCGTTTATGTTAACTTTCAAATGGAAAATATGTTGATTTTTTAATATTGCCTGTGAAGTTAAAATTTCAGCTTGTGCACAATATTAATTGAATTTAGTTATTACTATCAGATTATTAGCTTTTTAGAGCTTTTAACTACGATTATGGATTATTTTATTTAAATTTCCGTTTATAGCCATTTAATAGCAAATAATTTGGCATTTTTGTTTCCCTAGGTTACAATTGTGGACAAAAAGATTTTGGAGCTAAAAAATTTGGAAGAGTTAACTCTTAGTGCCAATTACATCACATCTATTAATTCTTTAAACATACCTAAAAAGTTAAAGGTAGACACCTTTTTTTTCATTTAATTAAGGATTTCTTAAGCCTGTTTAATGAAAATTTTACTGAGGGATTACTTAATAAGGAGGACCTTAACTTTTTATGTAAAATATTTTCAGATTTTAGAACTCTGTGCCAATCAAATCTCAGATGTTTCTTCTTTGTGTTTAAGACCACCTCCCCTCCAGCATCTTGGCCTCAGCAAAAATCTAATTTCCTTTCTTGGAGATTGTTTTAGCGGTCCTTACTGGTACATAAAATATTTCTAAAAATTTAACATCAGTAAAATTAGGCCTTTATATTTAGGCCTCTCTAAGTACTGAGAGTGACATTGATGAAATTAATAATATCAATAATCTTTGAAATGTTGTGGAAATGTCAGCATCCCACTCATGATGTCATTATGTGGTAAGAAATAAACCCTAAATAAAAGATTGTCAACCGAAAAAAACAAATAAGCAGCCGGCCAACTTGGCTTTGGATTAAAAAGTTATTTATTTAAAAATTGCTATCCCAACTTAATGATCATACTGAAACAAATCAGTTTATCTTCCTGCATTTTGCAATCAACTTTAGCTCTTAAGAATAAAGACAAAAATAATTTTTTTGTATTCAATTTCTTCTGGGTTTATCAAAAAAGATATTTATGATTGTACCTCTATGACTATGATATTTAATTGCTGTTTTACAAGGCTGACAAGAGTAATTATTATTTCTATCACCTAATTACACCCTTTGCAGGCCTAATCTTTTATCCCTGGATTTGAGCCACAATGACCTGTGTGGATTGGTTAATGTTATCTCAACATTATCAACACTTCCAAAGTTGAGACACCTGATCCTTAACGGAAATCCTCTTTCTGTGAGATATTTAATAGTACAGCTAATAATTATTAAACAATGTTAGAAACTAAAATAGTTTCTAAAACAATAAAATTTAGTGTGGATAAACAAGTAGCAAATATTTTTAAGGTTATTAAATAAACTCCTAATCCCCTCCCCCTCCTAATCCTGTTCTTAGTCTGGTAAGAAATGTGAACATTTGATGAAACTCAAGAAAGGCATGAACTAAAACTAACAAATAAGTTAGGTTAAAGCTTGCATGTTAAGTTATAAAAATTGTGTGATTATTTCTCTTTAGTTTAAAATTAATTCCTTATACCAATGAAAAAATCACTGAGTTTCTATATGATTGATTTCCCAAAGGTAATCTCTTAAAAAAGCATAGATGAAACTTGAAAGGGAATTAAAATAATGACAAAGTCAGTTCTGGCACATTATGATACTGTCAGATATATTAATAGTTTCTTTTTTTCAGAATCCTATTGAAAGTATGTAAAGCTATTTCAGTTTGTTATATCTTTTAACATTTTTATGAAGATGAATGTTACAAATTTCAGTTAGGTCTTGCCTATAGAGGACACACAATCGATACAATCAAGCAGCTGGCTGTGTTTGATGATAAACATATTTCTGTGGATGAAAAGCTCTCTTGCCATGGAATCAGTACAATGAAAGGTTTGTTTTCCTTTTCTTTATTATCTTTTAACTTGCATTTTATCAGTGATCAGACTTTACTGTCTTCCTGTAGTTGTTGTGCTGTCATATTCAACACATTTAGAACTAAAAATTTTATAAGTGTACCTGTTCTTAAGACCAGATTGATGTGGGAGGATGTTGTAAATCCATGTGCAACAACATGCCCAACAACCAACAATAAGTTCATGTTTTTTTTTATTTTGATATTTTTAACAACTGTTTTGTTAAAATTTTCCAAATTTAACATAAACCAGACCAGCTGCATGTTTTTGTTGTTTAACTGTTTCCAAACTCTGAGTAAATTTAAAAAAAAAAAAAACTTTTAAATTAGCTCCAATTTGGCATCATAGCTCCATAAATTTTAATTTCTTACTAATTTATCAGATGCAGAAAATATAAATTAAGCCTAGGAAATTTGAAAATGAAAATTAAAAATAATGAAACTCTCAGTAACTTCATAAAAGTGATTTGTGTTATTCCTTGCAGAAGTGATAAGAGATGAAGCTCACTTTCAAATTCATATCTCATATGTAAAAGGAATTCCATGTCCAGATGAGATCAAGGTAAAGTTTTTATTCTGTAATCCCTAACTCTAGCAATAGCACAGAAAAAGATTGAAACATTGCATGAAAAAGTACAGGCCTTTTTGTAATAAAAGTTTATTTTTTTTATGTAATGAAATCCAAAATTTCATCTGAATTAAATTAAATACATTTTTAGTCTGCTAGAAATGTATTTGTTAAAAGGATAATAGAAAATTATATTAAATATTTTATTTAATGACATACAATTACTTTTATTCTTATAACCATATTTTTAATCAGTGTTTCATTTATAGTTTAAAAATCTTATTCTCTGAAATAACACTAACAAATAATCTGACCTTATCAAACATAAAAAGAAATCACGGGTGCTCATAGTGAGATATAATCTTTTTGACAAGATACAGAGTACCATATTAATTACTTAATTTTATGCTGCACATTTTTATGGTCCTTTTTGAGAATCAGCCTTAAAGGTGATGAGGGTTACTTACCACAGATGCTCCATATTTTTCTGCATTGTTATAACGATGAACTGAAAACTTTGAAAATGTTTTAAAGGCACCTATAATTATGGAGAACCCCTTTTCACCTGATTATTATTTGAATCCATTACTATGCAGATCTCTAGGCTACTATTATATTCGCCAGGGGAGGGGGCATCCCTTACCCCCTAAAATCTTTTACCTATTTACCTACACCGCTGCTTGTAACCTCTTGACCTTCATCATAAGCTGAGTTTTGATGATGAACTTGATGAACAACTTAGTCAGACACATCCAATTACAAAAGTACGGTGTTAATCTTATTTTGATACCAATCTGCAAATGACTTTTGACACAAAAAGTACAACGTATAGAGAAACCTAATCACTGATAATGATAAGAAACCTAATAACTTAAATGAAGACTTTATTTTTAAAAGGTTATGTTTTTGTTTCAGAATAAGGATCAGAATCAAGATATGTTTGTAGAGAGACTCTACTTTGTTCAGTTTGAGTTTCCTGAAGACAGAAAGTATGTGAATAAAAGGGACACTCATGAGGATGTGATATCAGTTAAAGATGGTGAAGGAGGTGTAGAGAAATGCCATTCTGAACAGATGATGGCAAGAGCCACAGACTCAACTTTAAAAAAAGTAATAAATATTTTATAAATTTCAGCTCATAGTTATTATTCTTGATCAACATCAAATTGAACAAAAAAATAATAATAATAACCTAATATTACAATTGACAATAGCTGCATAATTCTATAGCAGTGTCTATTTGTCCTCAGTGAAAGTCAGCCATTAATAAAGTTAAATAATTTTGAAATATATTTGATATTTTCTTGATATTGCATACTTTATGTTGAATGTTTGAGAAAAATATCAGCTGAATTGTTTTAGACTTAGAGTTATTCCAATTTCTTTATATTAGTCTATGTTTAGATGCACCTATATTTTTTACCTTATTATTTTTTTAAATCTCATTAGTATGTACAAAAGGATCCCAAAGCATCACTTATATTTACCATGGGGCTCCCTTTCCTCCTAATATCTTTTATTTCAAAAAAAAGAGAAGGAAAAACAAAATAAATCTTTTACGACACTTCTGCTTGTGACCTATTTCAGTTGCTAATGTCCCAGACATCTCAGCCTGACACAAATGTAGGTGAAATGGTCAGTCAGTCCGAAAAGGGTCAGCATTCAGAAATTCTTACTGTTCCATACCAAAGTGAGTAGCGGGACATCTTACCTTATACATTCTCTTTTTATATCCTTCAATTCTTCTTATCATCTTTGATAATTATTTTAATAATCTTTCTTATACAGGTATTACAAAAGTGTTTTTGTTGGGTGCTGTTTAAAGAAAATAATAGAGGCTCAGCTGTTTAGCTTTATTTATTATCATCTATAACTCAAAGTAAAACAACATTGTTTCTTTTATATTTATTTTACATTTTAACTCCTTCAATGTTTAAAAATGTTAGATTTTAAATTATAATAGTCCAAAACAGAAATTTGTACCATGAAAAATCTTAATTTCTGTGTCAAAATGAATGCAATCAACCAGTGCCAGATTTTTCTATAGGCTAAGTAGACATAAGCCTAAGGCCTCCAAAATATAGGGGGCCTCAAAATTTAAATAATTTTTTAGATTGCCGTTCTAAAAAAAATTTTTTGAATATTCCAATTAATAATAAGATCATTTGAAAAGAAAATTAATCACAAATGATTGTAGTTAAATGCAATAATGCTCAATTCTGTGATATTAAAAGGAATAACTACTAAACCATCACACGATCGAACAGCATGGCTAATTTAGTTTTTAATTCTTGCATTACTGAGCCCGGTTGGTATGCTACAAAGGTGTGCAGCCAAAATCATTGAAAACAAACAAAAAGTTGCAAATTTTATTCCATGTGCTGTTCACTCATTACATTTATTATTTGACCTTTCAAATCTTGATTTCTGTCCTGTTGCAATGAGTTTTTAAATTATTTTTGGAACTTCATTCATTGCCTTGATGGGATGTAGGCCTACATGTAAAAGCCACAGAGGCTATTTTGGAAAGCTACATTGATAATATTGATATCACTCATGCCCCTTATATTTATATTCTTATGTTAATCAACAAGCTGAATGATACCAGGCTTCGAGCAAATGATTTTTTTTTTCTCCAGAAAATAGAAGAATCGGGACTTATGTTCATGCTACATTTTTGTCCCCGTATTTTACATTATTTTCAAAAACACTATTGAGAAATAATAACTATTTTTGATGGGCTTACCATAATTTTAAGAGTTGAAACTAGGACGAGTAGCATAAGGGTGTGGGGGGTCTCCCTGGACACTTTTCTTGATGTTAATTACCAACACTATTTAACAGATGTTCGTGTCTAGGGGAAGGGATAATTTTTTAGTCCCCCCTGTGGCATTCAGTTAAGGTACTGACTATTTAACACACAATGTCTACAAAGTCACATCATTTGTTTGGGTATTTGGATATGGAATGGCTATTAATTCTATAATTTTCTTCCTTTAATCTAATTTTTAATACATGTCTCTATTCTTTTCATACAAAACTTCAAAACAGCTCAGTAATGGGAAATTTATTATAGTCATGAGAAGATTAATGACTGTAATGCTGGCATACTGCTAGTATCTTCTCATAAGAAAAAAATGGGTGGAGGGGGTATAGGCTGCAGGCCGAATATATGGCTCAGGCCTAAAATTAATTATATGCAGAGACCACTAAAATTTACATGTGAAACTTCTCATAATTAAATGTATGTTGCTTACTACAAGCTTTAAAAATTTGCAGTCTTTAAATATAGAATTTAACTTTGATTTTAAAAAATCTTAAATTTGATACCAACATAGTTCTGATTATAACATGTATGAGACTATCTAAGAAAACAAATCACATTAATTTTGACAAAAACTGAGATTGAAAAAGGATTGACAATTCAAACCAGTCAGGATAATGCCTTTTAAAAAGGGACAATCCCATTCAAACCAGCCCTATAGTAACATAATTATTGGGTACATCTCCAACTTAGCACAGTTCAAATGGACGTTTTTTTAAACAAAATTGGAAAAGATTTTGATGAATTTGAACAACTTAATACTTTTTGGTTTATTTATTAAAATATTTTTCTGAAACAAACTGATTAAATCTTCTTCTGTATCGGGTAGTCATCATGGGGAATGTTTAATGATAAGTAATATTTAGATATGCACAATCAAGTAGACATCACCACCTCAAGAAAACATTCCAAGTGATTAAATGTATTTTTTTTTAGAAAAATAAATAATAGATTTAAATAAAATTTATAACAGTATACTAACAATTTGTGTGTGCAAGGACAAACTAACAAGTGCAAAAGTTATTTTTTTAAAACAGCTTTTGACTACCTTGACTACCTCAAAATTTAATTAGTCTAGGGCCTCTGGTTAGCTTAATATGGCCAGCATAAGTGTCCATCCAAAATTATTGAAATGTTCTTGATCTTGTCATGCTTTATTACCAAGGTGTATTTATTTTATTGCGTAATATGTTAAGGCAAAGCACCAGACGTTAACACTGTGATCGAAGAAACACCTGTTTCAATTGAAGCCGCTGAAGGGGTTCACAATGACCTTGAGTTGACATTTGAAGAAAATCCCCCAGTGACAGTTATTAAAACTACACCTCTGCCATGGGCCCAGGAACAAACTCTGAACTGCTTGATGGATTTCAAGAGAAAAGATTTGTTAGCTCTGAGGAATTTTTTTAGGAAAGGCATGCAAATGAGTGTTGTGGAGCAATTGGTAAATATGGCATTCATAGTTGCTCAACAAACTGTTTGGTTTGGGTGGGGGGGTTTGAGCTTTATGTTCATTTTAGTGTCTTGACTTTTATGTAGAATGGACCCCCCCTTTTCTCAGTTTGAGATACAGCACACCGTTAACTCTCTCCTTCACATATTGTATTTAGCCCATTGATTGATTCAGCGGGAGGACACAACTAGAAAGTTGCATTTCCCAACATTTCTCTTGCCATTTTTTTCTCCACTGAGAACACATTTTTCTTGCTCTGGCAAACAAATTAGGCCTACTTTGTTATTATTTTAAGTATGACTTATTGTATGTTATGCCCTTTTTTTTTATAGATCTGTGTGTCCATTACTTAGTTCTAAGCTCCTTGTTTGAGAATATTTTAGCTCATTTACTGTGATCATAAAAGGGATTTTTTTCACATTCTTTATATTTAGGTTTATTTATCACTAATTTTTACTGGACATAAAATCAACTATTCAGCAATTCTTTGCCCAGATTATAGGCACCCCAGATTTACAAAGTGCAGCATTAAAAGAGGAAAAGGGAGGTAAAGGTAAAAGTAACAAGGTAAATATCCATGGATGTATATTTTATTCCACTGTATTGCTTGTATTGACTTTGAGTGTTCCATTTTTAATCCTTTATTTTGACATAAATTTAAACAATTAAAACAACAATGGAATTCAGATTAATAAATTTGAAAAAGAATTAGTTCTAAGGGACTAGATCAGGGGTTAAAATTATTTTTTAAATTTCAAAGCCCCTTTGATGATGCAATAAAAATCTGGGGACTCTCAATCAAAATTTGAAATAAAAGGTTTTTCGAATGATAATAATTTAATTTTTACTTCTTTAGTGTATAAGAAATGTTAAAATTAGTCGAGCAACACAACATTTTCATTCTAAACTAAAAATTTATTTTTAATGTGAAGGAATGTTTTGTTTTTTAATGGACCGAATAAATTGGGCTTATAGATTTTAAGCTTTAATCTTTACTCATTCCAAGTTAAACACATTAGCTGTTTAATTTTTAATATGATAACATGGCTAAATCTTGTTTTAACCATATGCTAAAAGAAAAGGTAGCGCAGGTATTTCAATTATTTAGGTCATGTTTCAGGCACCAGTTTTTTCTTTTAAAAAAAAATATTATATATAAACCCATGATCAAGTTCAGTACCGTATTTTATTTTATCACAATACTTGATGGAATATCACCCTGATATAAAAAATTTGCTATAGATATTGCCTAGTCGCAGAATAAATACAACTGCTTTTACATCTCCTCCCTTTTAATGAATCTGATATGAGCTATGACATAAGTAATGTAATAATTTCACAAACTTGTTGATTTCTCATCTGTCTGTTGTTTTTTTAAAAATATAATCTAAGGATGTTTTTGTGTTAATTTTTTGTTGTTGAGTTCAAAATGATCTGATTTTTACAGTCATTGACAAAGCAAAAGCCAATGGAAGAAAAAATAAAAAGCGGTCAGAAAAACTTGAAAAAGGTCTTTACTTCCATAAAATCTTTTATATTTAGCAGATTAAAGATATATATCGATTGACCTATATATATGTATATGTATATGTGTGTATATATATATATATATATACAGGGTGGGCCAATAAAAGTGAGAACATTTCGCAAAATATTATGCTACGAAATGTTCTCACTTTTATTGGCACACCCTGTACATTGTACATATATACATTACAGAACCTAGCTGTAGATATATATTTTTTAATATAAAATTAAGTTTAAATTCTTTCTTTATTTCTTAATGAATGTATCAGAAATCCAACGTAAAGTTGAATGTGTCTATCCTTGTATCATAAAAGTATATATTACTTGACTTGTATAGCTTTNTTTTCCCACCAACCACAAACTAATCACTTTAAGTTGTTCTTAATTTTGAAGATGTTTCTAAAGTGATGTCTTGTTTAGTCTCTGTAAGGCCACCATCTCCCCATTGCATGCTAAATAGTAGAAGAGTATGTGGATGTGGGTTTAGGACACACTCCTTGGTGTTAACCCCAATCTGAGAAATATTTTAATAATGGAAATAAAATTAAAAATATGAAAGTACATTCCCATTAATTTTATAATAAACTAAATGATCATAAATCAGTAAAGGTTGCTGACACTTAGACAAATGTATTAAAATGTTTTTTTATATTCCTTAATAAATGTCAGCAAAGGCTGTCTCTAAAATGTTTACAAAAAAAACTGTATCCAAAAATGTCAAATGTGTAAAAAAAAAGAAAAAAGTTACTTTATTGAAGAATTGTTTTTTTAAAAAGGTAAGCTAAAATGAAAAATCAAAGTTATTTTTTTATATTGCTTTTTCATTTAATTATTGCTGATTATTGGCTATAAATAATTTATAAATAGCCATTCAAATTTATGGAAAAGCTTATATTTGCCAAAAAGATTATGTTGGCAGTCATCTTTTCATCTCAGTACCAACTAGTACCATTTCTTTTGGCACATGCTGCATATATCCATAAATGGTTAACAGACAGAGCCTCCTTTGAACAGCAATGTTATTTATTGAATATCTTTATCATACTTGATTTTAGTTCATGTACACTGATGCTACTCAAAATACCTGTTGTTGAAGACTATTTAAAAAAAAATTAAATGGCTTTGGACTGGTCTTCCACAGCTCTGGCCCCCCACAGCGTGTGAATGAACTACTAACCACTCAGCATTTCCTTTTTTTACAAACATGGATTAGTCTTTAGTTGATTTTAGAAAATTTCTTGTCTTTACTTTCCTTAACATTCTATAAGATTTTCTATAAGTTTACATTTCCATTTTAACTGTAATTTACCTTTACCATGTCTAAATAAAATAGAAAATTTATCTTCGTACATTTTTTTAACCCAATCATATTTATATTTATATAAAATGCATTTCATGAGTATGATAATCATTACAGTTATCATTATTTTGTCCCTTCGTTAAGCCTTTATTCGATAGTTATTAAAAAAATGTAAATCCTTTAATGCACATTAAATTCTTACTGAAAGTATAAAATGACATTTTTAATACATGACTTTGTGAGATAAATAACTCTTTGGTTTCTATATATATATATATATATTTTTTTTTTTAAATATTTATTTTACACCTAGTTTAAATTATGTTACTGCATTGAATTATGTGTATATTCCTTTATGGCTTTATTGAAAAAGTACATTTTCAACAGGATTCTAAGAAGAAAAAAGAGACAGACCATGTGAAATTAGACCCTGTCTTTTCCACTGTTGCATCATTCAACATTCCACTGGAGCTCTTCTTAGATGGGGAATATGAATATAAAAATGTATTTACTGAACTAAATTTGCCACCACCAACTGCCATTCCATCGAATGAAGATGCCAATTATGTAAGTCTCTATATAGACATCATCTGATCCAAATACCAGTACAGACATCCATTAGTCAAGCTATTAAATTAAAACCTAATGCAAATTGTTAATGCTATTTGACATGGACACATTAGTGATAACAATACTATAAATATATAAATAATTTTTCATCGAAATAAAAATCTGTTGCCAATTTAACATAATTTATGTTATTTTTTCAAAGAACCAATAGATACAGCAAAGGGTGAAGAATGTGAATGTTTTATGACATTTTATTCTTACCAATTTAAAGCAGTAGTTGGAATTTATTTCTCCCTCAGAACAAGAGCAAAGAAAAAAAGAGAGAGACTGATGGTCAGCAGGACAGAAACAGAAGTACTGGACTATTTTTAAATCTCATTTAGACAGTGCTTCCCAGCCTTGTAGCCTAATGTTTACTATAGAAATTAAATTTATAGTGGTGGGCTTCAATCAGACTAGTCAAGCCATTACAAAGAATGAAATATAGTCAAACCTGATGCAAAAAAACAAAAAGATCTCCAAGTTGGCTGTGTAATGTAAAGTTGGTTTAAATTTGTTTAAAATTCAGATAGTTTTTATATTTCTTGTAGCTGAAAGTTTTCTGCCTACATATTCATGTAATAATTTTTTTTAAAGTTTCACATTAATATTGATCCTATAAATCAGTCCAGTTTTTTTAAACCTATAGTAAGTATCTATTCATTTAATGTATGCTGCACAACTATTATCATTTGCTTTGTGTAACCTGGATTAAAACATACATTTGATCAAATAATACTTTTATCTGGTTAGCAACTTTAAAAGATTGGTATTATTTTACTTGCTTTTAGAGACATTTTTTAAAGAGTTCAAAAAATATTTAAACAAGAAATTTAATTAAATTTAATTTTATTACTTTCCCCACAAATATAGGTGCCAGAAAATCTCCGGGCAAAGACAAAGGGAAAAAAAAGGAAACCCCAGATATTCATTTGGAGTCTGGTCCTAAAGGCCTGGAAATGGAAGTGACTATGAAACTAAGGCACTGGTTGACAGTCAAGGATATAGTCAGGGTATAGATGACTCATTAAATATTAACAGCGGAAGAGTATAGAATCATGGTGAAATTGGGTTGCATTTTATATAATAAATAATTCCAATCTACAAGTATTATAATTAAAGTTTATTATAATTTGAACAATTAATCTGAACAAGACTTCTGTTGTCATAATTGGAATAAATTTTTTTTCTTATATTTTTTTTAGTCTTTTTACTCTCGAAACAGCTTGACTAGATCTGAACAAAAGAACAAACAGGACTAACAAAATTATATTCAGTTTTGAAACACTTTAATAAATACTTTAAGCAAAATATAAACAACTTTATTAAGAACTTTCTAAATGTTCATTTGTAATAATAATGTCCAAGGTTTATCCAATGAATGCAGACAAAGGATTAAAATGCAATATTGTATGTCATGGTGTTGTGCAATTTGTATTTTAAACCTAGCTGTCTACCTACTGAACTATAAATTAAATAAATTCTGAAGAAATGCCTGATAAAACTTGTTATGGAACATATCTTTTTGATGAGTGAAACACTCAAGGGAAAATTAACTTATTAGTGTAGCGGACTAATAAAGAATACTACACTGACACATAAGATACCTGGAACAAGTTTTTTTTTTTTAAAAACATGATCATGAACTGAGTGAACAAGATGAAATGATACAAGCGATTTATGGTGTTTTATCAATAAAATGTACACAATGTTATTTCCTGGTCAGAACGTAAACCAAAAATCAATAGCATGTATAATATAATAGGGAATAAAACAAACTAAATGAATGTATGGGAAAACAAAATAAGGAATAGGCTTATAATGAGCCTTTTTTTTAAAGCAACAACATAAAAATAAGAGATGGGACTGACAGATGAGACACACATTTAAACAAGCAAAATAAACAGTAACATTTCATTACCTATTTTTCTTGTTTTGTTACAGGGGACAAGCATTATCTATAAGTAGTCCTTATACATGTATATTTACATATAAATGCACATTATTTATAAATCTAATTGTTAATTTACTTCGAACACAACCCCCCCCCCCCCCAACAGTTTGGCTACAATGTAAATTACTGATATAAATATCATTAGTGAGCATCTAGGAAAAGTAAAAAAAAATCATCCAAGCTTTTCCAATTGTTTTATGATAAATTTTCCCCAACTATATAATGACCCCAGAAAGTTAAAAACAAATTTAAAAAAAAAAAAATTCATTTTAAGAAATAAATATTCTCAACGTACTGGTCCAATGTATTACACAAATTATAAAAATTGTCGTTTAGTGAACATTTACAAAAAGAAGCCCTAGTAGATAGGCCGACCAATTAAAAAATAATAGGTCAATTACAGTTTCGGCAACATATTCTATCCAACAGTGATAACTTTGGTTAAATATTGAAGCTAAAGTATTCCTTTTTCATTTGGGACAATATTATTTTCTAAATTTTCAAGATCTAAAATGCTTCTGGATAATGAATAAACATGAAAATTCCAAATTTTCTAATAAATAAATATTTAAGAAAGCATTGGAATGGCTGAATGATTTACTGAACATCGATTTTGATTCAGATGCCTGAGTTTACACTAGACATCTGATTCAACACTGAGCACAGTACCAGCACTTGTGTTACTGGACAGAGAAGCCAAAGAGCCTTCCTTATTGAATTGTAAAGTTTTCTTGGGACTGAAAAAGTGAACTTGTTTACTGGTTGGGATCTTCACACTGAGAAATAAACAGTAGTATTCATAATTACACATACAGCCGACTTTCATTAAAAGGTCGTGTGAAGTTGACAAGAACATAAGACTGAGCGTGATATAACTGTTAATAAGTTGCCAGCGTCCAAGTGAAATGAGTAAATCAAGGACCAACAACGAATAGTTTAAATCAAGACTGAGAAGTAACTGACTACAAGAGTTGATTTGAAAAGAAGAGGTGTGAACATGCTAAGGAGGTCAGAAAGCCTACATGCCAGAGTTTTCCTTGTTTGAGTCTGTGCTAAAATCTTCCTGGCCTCGGACACAAATGATCTCCATAATGTTGGTGTTACTGCTGCTGATGTAAACACAGCCGGGGCCTGGGGCAGGACCGAGATAACGAGGAGACTGAATATCAATCACTGTCTGCCTCCCTCTGTAGATAATTGCAAAAACATATTCATTTAAATAATCTAATAGTGACCAATGTTTAGGATGATCAATTTTTATTAAATTCGTTCATCAAATCTTGAAAAAATTTCTTTAATAAAAATATGGGCAAAGTTTAGCAATGTTTTCAGTGAGGTGTGGTCAGGTGTAGTACAATTTAAAAGTATGTTAAGTAAATGGTTCTCAAATTACATTTTAATTAATTCACACAGAATTTAAACTATACTAATTATTAATGAGAAGGAACTTGAATTCAAAGTGCCTTACTTGGCTTGTGTTCTATCTGTGGGTACAACAGTTGCATGGATTGTGTTGGTGTAAATCACATACAAGAATGGTTCAACAAAGGCTGCAAAACAAGATGTTTTGAATTAAATAAGGTCAAAATTAATAAAACCTCAGCTGGGAATTCAGCCTTCTTTTCAAAGGTTTTAAATAGTTTTTTAAAATAAAAAAGTCTTAGGAATAGAAAATATTTTGTGATATAAATATGTTATATACAAAAGAATTTACCAAAAGTTAAGGGGAGTCCACTCCATTTGACATCTGTTGCTCTGCTTCTTTGCCCATGATGATCAACAAATACACCAAATTCTGCACACAAAAAAAGATGTTAATCACTAATGACATAAACTTAAATTCACAACACATTCTTTATTTACATGCATTTGATATTATTTGACAATTTTGCAATAAAATGAGTTAAAAAATATTAAATACACTCAATGTTAGACACCATTAGAATATGGGAATTTTTTTAATTTCTAATCCTGCGATTAGCTTTAACCCATTCAATCCTGGGCGCTTAGAAATTTTATCATTGGAAAAACCCAGCCAAAGGGGAGCAACTCCACCGTTAATATAAAAATGTTTTGAAAAATAATAAAACAAATCTATTTAACAGTATAATCATCTGAAATAAATTAATCTGCATTCATAAATGGTTTCTTTATGTGTTGTGTAACATTATTTCCTAATGCTTTTCTTGTGTAAATTGATAAAAGTCAATTTCCTACATAGTATTTGAATACTAATGATCATAACACTAAAATAAAAAATCTACTTTTAAAATAATGAATACTCCTCACCCAATAATTGAAAATATTTTTAAAAGAGAGTAATCTCCCTTGGTCTCGTTTCTAGAGAGATTTAAGTTTAAATAGTGAGATTTCTGCTTTCTATTTAGCAACATGTAAACAAACGGTTGAGTGGCCGGATTTGGCTGTAGTATGATTGAATCGGTACTGGCCGGATTTGGCCGTTACAGGGTTGAATAGGTTAATGAAATATTTCATCACCAAATACCATGGAAACACAGCAAAAATTCTAGTGGCAGATTTTCAGGCGACACACGAACCACGGCCAGGGGAAAACTGTGGTGATTGGCAGCACCAAACGCAGCAAAGGCAAGGGAACTGTCTTGACGGTCAACAAAATCTGCAAACAACATTAGTGATGAAAAAAAATTAACAAAATATTCAGTAAGGGAGCAGAAATGAAGGAATACCTTGCATGATCATAACACACAAAAATGACACAGGTAAAACTATTCTACACAAGAATGGAATGATTTCTCAATTATCAAAATATTTAGAAGTAAGAAGTTTTTAATATTCAACTCTTTGCAAGTACCAAAATTCATTAGCATAATGATTCTTTCAGAAATGTGGTACACTTAGTTCAATATATGAAGAAAAATCGAGTAACATTCAAAACAGCTCAACAAATTGAGATCATGTGGTGTTAATCTTATTTGATCATAAACATTAATGTGGTGGGGACCAAAGAAATAATTTACCAAGTAAGCTGGGATGCTCAATATTTATCTTGTAGAATCGTTCTGTTCCAACAATGGCATAATTCTCAGCAATACATACACAGCTGCAAGGCTCAGAGCTTGGGAACTCCTGAAAGTAAAGTCGGAGCTTTACAATGTCAAACAGTTTGAGATGATAATATCTTGAAAAGTTGCATAAATTGATGGCAAATCTTATTATCTATTTTTTACTTGCATTTTTTAAAGATATCCCAAAACACATTTTTTTTAATGTGTGAAAATGAGTGACCTGACTAGACTTATTTTCCCAACACATAAACAAGATGTATCTCAAACTGAGTCTTTCAACTTACCTTTCTGACACAATACATGGCCAGGCTGGGATTGTACTTCATGAGATAGACCTTGGTTGGTGTCCCCACACACAAGTAGCTGGCATTGTTCCACAAGCCCACATCAAAGATGGTACAGCACTGCAAGCCATCTATAGTCTTAAAGGAGAACGGAGTGGTCTCCCCACCCAAGGTCTGACTCATGCGACACTTGACAAGTTTATTCTCAAGCATCACAAGTCTACGTTCAGGGCCTGGGAACAAATCAGTCAATTTTTTTGGGTGATGCTAATAAAGAGACTGTTTCTCTAAATCCAAAATGTAATGAAAGGTTACAAAAAATGTAAGTATTCTTTCTTTTTTTTAATCCTGATAATTACAAAAGACAGACTAGAAGTCTAATCTGACAAAAAGAGGTTTTGCTAAGATGAACTCAATTAGAGGATGATAACAACAAGGTTTTTTTCTTAAGTATTTCTTTTAATGTAACAATCCATACATTTGAAGGATAAGTAATAGAATTTTTTTATGCAAAACATTATGTAATGTAATGGTTTATACTGTTGAAGCAAAGCATTCCATTCTGTTTTTCTCAAACATAATCGCAACAATAATAACAAGGTTTGAATAGGAATGAGATAATCAAAGAGAAGTCAAAGTGACAAATGTTGAAAATGTTGCTGTATCGTGTTTACACTTTTTACCTGTGAGCACAAGGATCAAATCAACACCTTTAGCTAAAGCCATTTGATGGACACTACCAAAGCCAGTCAACTGCGTCATCTGTTTACGTTTAGATGTGAGAGCTTGGGGGTTGAATGCATACAGACCATCGTCAGTTCCAACTAGCACCAGCTGAGAGAATATAGAGAAATTTCATACCAATTTAGTGTAAGAGCTGCAGGGTGCATTGCTTTAAATACAAGGATATCTCTCAAGATTATTTCTTAGTGAATCACGCTTAATTTTCTTATTAATTAGTAGTTCCCAGTCGATACTATAGGTTTCACCTGTCTAAATATGAATAAGTTTGATTGAATTTGGTGGGCTCACCTGACTAGATATGACTAAAGTACAATTGAAGTCTCTGCGTTCATCATCTTTAAGGGACATGACAGTTATAGTCTGTGACCTCTGCAATATTTTTTCAAAACTCTTTTTAATATTCTAAAACATAAATTAATAAACATCTATACATATAAGATTTTCTTTTTTTAAATTCCTGTGAAAATTTAAGTTGCAGTGTTGCAGAATAAAAATCATACCTAGAGATAACTTTATGTATTTTAAACAAATTAATGTATAGGAAAATAAAAAAAGTCAAAGCAAACATTAAAATTTTCAGATGCTTACATTACGGTACAGGTCACTTTTGCACTGTGCACTCTTCACTACAGCTTCTAAAGATGCCACCCATCTTTGTTTTTCTTGGAAGTTGGTTGTCATGAGATACAGGTATCTGATAGATGAAAATAATTTCAATTTAAAAAAAAAAATACTTTTTCTATTTTAAAAGTCTATGAAAAAGCAAAGCTTCTAAATAAAACTCAAGTGTCAATAAGTAAAGATGAGTAAATAATTCAAGTACAGATAAGTTATGAAGTTAATATGTCAAGATGGGCATAGGGGGCAATAAGTAAAGATGGGTAAAGAAGTCAAGTGAAAAAGGGTAAAGACATGATAAGTAAATATAGGTAAAGAAGTCAAGATGGGTAAAGACACCAATAAGTAAAGAAGTCAAGTAAAGAATGGTAAAGAAGTCAAGTAAAGAATGGTAAAGAAGTAAATATGTAAAGATTGGTAAATCAGGCAATATGTAAAGATGGGTAAAGAAGTCAATATGTAAAGATGGGTAAAGAAGTCAATAAGTAAAAATGGGTTAAAAATTCAATACGTAAAGCTGGGTAAAGAAGTCAATATGTAAAGATGTAATTAAAGATGGGTAAAAATAACAATAGGTAAAGATTGGTAAAAAAGTCAATAAGGAAAGACGGGTAAAGAAGTCAATTAGTAAGCACGGGTAAAGAAGTCAATAAGTTAAGATGGGTAAAGAAGTCAATAGGTAAAGATTGGTAAAGACATCAAGAAGTAAAGATTGATAAAGAAGTGTACACATATCTCCTACCTCCCTGGCCAGCATGTTGTTAGCGGATCTTGATCTATTCTAAGTACATAATGGAGATCTGAGGAAGCTGTATTGCTGAGTTCTGCAGATGTTACAGCACTGTGGACACCAACATCAGCATCTATTGGGTTCAGGTCAAAACTATCCACTGGATTCTCATCACGGTCATCCATATACAACGTCAGCCATGTTCCTTCAAGAACACAGTAACGATTCTCCCAACCAGATTTACCAACCCTGTAATTAAATAGGTTTTCTTACATGAATAACCTAATTAAAATTTAAGAGGCTAGGAAATGTGAACATGGAAGATTCAAATTGGTAAAAAAGAAAACATTGAAATTTTATGATAAACTATGATTTTTTGCAAATTTACTTCAGGGAAATTTCACCTTGGCACTTTCAACCATCCCTCCATTTTGACCCTTGAGTTGTCAATATCAGAACCTCTTCCTGTTTCACCTCTGTAGATTTGACTCATGACTAGGGCAAAGTGACGGACATATTCTGTTGGAAGGCCACACGTAGCTGGCACTGATGATGCACACTTGGGATGAACAACCATTCCACACTCTGGACAGAAATTAAACAAAATAAAGTTTTTATATAAATTTAACAGAGTTATTAAAAAGCTATAGTGTTGTATTGATTCATCAAGCAGAGAGCTGGCCATTTTGAAATGCTTACCTTGACATTTAGATGCTTGACGAACAAAATGAACTGTCCCCAGGCACAGTCCACATTTAGCAGCTCTAGTATTAAGGCCAGTGGCAAACCTGTAAAGAAAGAGAGAAAAAATTTCAACAGGTCCTAACCTCAACAAAAGTTAAGCAATACTGTTAGCTCATGATTTAAACATTCTTTTTTTACAAACATTTGGTATAATTAAAACAATATATATTTAACCAATGCCGAAAATGACAATATTGTTAGGGTTTTTCTTTCAATTCCCTGCTGAGTGATTTAAGAAATAAATAAATATGTCAAGTGTTAGTTTAGCAAATAGGTGTAAAAGGAAATAAGAAAAAGGCCGACACAACAAAAACTTTATTGTTGTCAACAGATGTCAACAGAATTATCAAAAACTTTTTTTTAATAAAGATTCGCATTTTAAACTACCTGTGCGGGATATTGTGATGCATTCTCTGTGGAGTTGGCAAACTTTCACCAACTCTTGAACCCCTGGGGTCAGGGGTGAAAGCTCTTCTTTGAGAGGAGTGAGGACTTCTGGATGACCTTGACTGTGTGGAGGAACCAGACGAGGAAGATGATCCAGTTGAGGCCAGGGACGTGGAGGAGTAGGCTGAGGCCAGTTCTGCTTGCTGACTTGCCGGTGAGTGTGTCAGTGCATTCATGGCTGAATTGGTTAATTTTACTGTAACATTGGCTTGAATTTTGCCAGGTTGTTTCAGTTTCAGCACTGGTTTCAATGGACAAAAGTTGTTACATACTAAGGTTAATATAAAAAAACAAACTAATATCAATAATGAATGAATTTAGGACTAAGAAGTCATTGTCAAGTTTAAATGGTCAGATTGATGGCTAAATCAGAGTAACTATTTAATTTTAATTTGGATAATTATTATTTTTTTTGCTTTTTAAACAAAAATTATATAGAGTAGATAACTGAACACACAAACATTTGCCTTAAACCCCCAGAAATTGGAGGAAATAATTTAACAACAAAACAACACAAAAAACATGACCAAGTTATAAAAAAATTAGATCAAATTGAAGGGGTCTGCAAACAGAAAACGTTACCTCTCTTTATTTTAGTAAACCATCCAGCTGATTGGTAGATAAAGTTAGGTTTATTTATTTAACATTTACCTTAGTGTTGACATTTTAAAGATTCATACATTTTTGTGCAAAAGGCTGTTTAAAAATTAAAATAATTTTCACCATTTTGCCTCAGAAACAACATTTTTTGGTTCTCTTGCAATAAAGATAGTTTTGTACATCTAACTTTAGCATGCTACTTATGTTTTTGGTTAGAAACCTTGTGTATCCCATGGGCTTTAGAAGGAGAAGGGGGAATGTGACATAGGACAGGGTGTGCTTTCCTCTGTCTTACTGACTCTATCACTTTGCCACTAGGACAGGGTGTGCTATACTGTCGTACTGACTGTAACACCTAACTACCTTTATAATAAACAGTGCTTAATTTTTAATAAGTATTTCAATTAAAGTTAGATAGCATTTCATGCAACAATTCAAATGTTGCTACATATAATGCTTACATTCATTTGCTTGTTGAAAATTGTCCTCTCTGAGTCTATCTACCTGTTCCTGTAAGATGTTAGTTTTGCTGCGCTCCTGCTCTAAGGCTGTCTGTAAATCGGTCCAAGATAAGGGGAGAGTAGCAGCTTTATTGAGGGCTTCTTTGCTACCACTTTTGGGTCCAAAGAATTTGCTCTGCAATAAATAATCATAGATAGATAAAATAACACCTTTATAAAAATATATCTAAGTTTTTATTTTACAAAAAAGCTCAGTATAATAATTTTAACAAGTTTAATCATTTGGATAAAAGAATTTTTGTTAAAATTAAAAGTGGCATTTTTTATTATTATATATAATTACAATTATATAATTCATTTATCTTTCCTTTATTTATTATCATGAATAAAAAGCAGTTGTTTTTTTTCTTCTGTAAATTTTTAAATGGCAAACATCAAATTCTAAGATACTGATTTAATTATTGATAATTCCTTGAGAAGAAAGCAAGCACATATAAAAAAAGAAATGAGAGACACTGAGAGCTAAACAATACTGTTATACTTTTTGCATGTCATGTTTTCTTAAAATATAAAATTGCATACTTAATACTGGGATATTTGTAAGTGCATACTTATATTTGCATTCTAAACATCTGATACCTATAACAACTTTCACAAGACAGTTGCCTTCAAATCATATATTATATAAGTGCTAATTGTACTAGCTATGTCTATTTCATGCACATTCTCAATGGTTTTCTCAAGCTCTGTAGAGTAAGATATAAGTGGTCAAGGAGGAATGTTGTTAGATCACATGTAAGGCACAATTAATTGCAAGACACTGAGCAGATTGATTAGGGATTAGTTTACTACCTGAACAACATTTAGGTAAAGTAAGTGAACTTTAAAAAAAAAAAAAGTGCCTTATATTTGTAATAACAGATGAGTATGTCAGTCTGGGGTCTGAAGCATTTTGCAAACTTTGTTCACATTTATATAGCATCAAAATTCAGCACAGCAATGACCTCAAGCATACAGCAGGCAGATGCTGACACTTTTTATTAATAAGATTGTGAGCTTCATGGAAAATACATGGGTGAAAACATTCAAATGTAAAATATTTTATATACAGACAAGCATATTTTTGGTGATAAGTCAATTCACATCAAACAAAAAATTAATAATTTCATCAATAAACAAACCTTCTACATTGATTTTTGTTTCATGGTGTCAAAATAAGGGTAGAGCAGGGAAAAGCATTGAATTAAAAAAAAAAGAATTAAAAAATTAATTGACATGGGGTAAAAAAAAAATATAAGCTCATCGTTATGTTAACAGTAAAGCAAAAAATATCTAATTTAGCATAGTATCGATTTGTTTTTGTCATAAAATGTAAAGATAAAAAAGCAAAGTCATTAAGTGTGTGATTTATGGTCAACTTTTGTATGTACTAGAATTATTCTCATTTACTGTATAACTGCCACCAAAGCTCACAATAGCCTATGACACAAATGAGTAAATTCAAATGACTACGGACAGATTTCAAATATGGCAATAGGAACCTTTTATTCCTTAAAGTCTAGAAAAGGTGCAATAAATGTAACGTTTCAAAACTAATTAATGATAAATTCTAAAACAATAAAATCATTTCGAAAATTTCTAACAATAAATAATACAACCAATAAGACAAGTGAAATTTTTGGTAAAGAGAACATAAAAGCTAAAACCATCACTACTCAACACTGAATGAAATTTGTTCACATTTGAAGCCATAACAAAAAAATTCTCAGCATCATCACTACATTTTAATTATTGAATAACTGCAAAATTTTATTTAGTTGTGCTGAATTTGTTGGCTTTGAAAATGAAAAATTATGTCTCTTTTAAAATTTTATAGATCTCTTTTGAAATTTTCATTTAATTGTAACCAAAAATTTTTTTTTTTTTAAACTTCAAATCTTTGCTAACTCTTATTCATATTTAAAGGAAGTTATAAGAAAGCATAAAGGTGTACACTAACATTTTTGTAAAATTTCCTTAATTCTTACTTCTATTGATCATAGGTAAAGCCATTTTTTTTCTTCAGTTTATTTCATAGTCCATTACATTTAATTTTTTTAAAACATATATCTTATCCATTTTTGCTAGCAAAAATAAAACTTCGCTACCTTTTTAGCTTAATCTAATGTTTGCAAAAGAACATAGGGAAGAAAAAATAAAATTTCTATCCCATCCACTACCTTTTTCTTCTTTCCTGTGTGTTCCATGTAAAGATCCTGAAGGTAGTCAATAAGTTTCATCTGTTGACCAATAGTGCTCTCAAACTTGTATTTGTTCAGGAAGTGGAGACCCTGATAGTTGGTATATAGTCTAGTTAGAAGCCCTTTTAAAAAATCTCTCATTATTTCAATGCAGTCGTTCCTTAATTTAGAGCTGAGGCATGTTTTTTTATAACAAAGTTATTTCAATTTAAAAAAATATTTCTTACAGATCTTCTGCACTTTGGAACGGGTCCCAAAATGCTTTAAATTACAGTGTTTTTAATGTAAATTTATTTTCTAAATGTTTATTATTAATGCATCAAGAAATGTGTGGATATTTATAAAGCCAAAAATTATTTTTGTTTTAATCTAGTAATTTTAAAGTAAAAATAAAAAAAGGAGCATGTTGGTACAATATAGAAAATGCTCCCCTATGGAATTTGATATTTTTTTAAAGAGCGTAATTTAATTTTTAAAATTTCTATTTCCTTAAAAGTCAAAAGTGTTTTATTTTATTATGTTGAGAAGGGAGTGCTCATAAAGAACATTTACTGAACATAACTGAAAGCAAGATTAAGCAGTAATTTATCAGCAGTCTCAAGGAATGTTGGTTTAAAGGGGTTTTGCCTTGGTTGTAACAGAGGTTCATTTTCTCTTGTCAGAGACAATCACCGAGTGTATAAAACTAGTGAACAATTAAATATATATTTTAACCATAACATCAGAGGATGTTGTTGTCATTTTCTTAATTATCAAATGGACTATAGTGTTATTCAACAGCAATTAAACATCTTTCTGCCTTAATTAAAGACAGATAAAGCAAAGCAGAAAATTATGAAAAGATTTTTGAATAGAATTGTTTTTTCTATTTCAAATGATTAGAGAAGAACTATTTTTATCTTTAGTTGAACTGTATGATGCCTAAAATATGAATACTTTTTGTTAGTGTAAAGAAGCTTATCATTAAGTATTAAATTAAATATAAGAAAAAATTAAAAAAATTATGTAAATATGCATCAATGTTTCAACTCAAATTAAAATTATCCAATAGCTCTATGTTAATTATATTGTTACTATATTTCAAGTATTTCTTATTAAATTATTTTAAAATAATTTCCATAGTATGTGAAAAGATACATATTCAGGGTAAGAAGGAAATATTTTATCTTATCTTTGTAAATATAATTATAATATTCCAAAATTAACAATTGAAATGGCTATAAACTAATGCCATGATAAACACTATAAAATAAATTTTCTGTAATAGGAGATTGTTAGATTTTTCTGACCACAATTGGTGAAATAAGAGATAAGTGGGAGAGGAAAAGTATTTTTGTTTAAAATGGTATTGTTGTAAGAAAATAATATGAGAGACACAAAACAACAGTTAATATATTATAGATGGGATTAAGTTAAAGCATTAGAAAAGTGTATTCCTCTTTAGCCAGTGAGAATAAATATTACCTGTTATTATTAGAAGAAATAATTATGAGTGTTAAAGTAAAAATATTGAACATTCTAACCTGCAGTGCTTCAGTAAAGTTCTCAAGGTTGACTTTTTCTCCAATGATCATTTCAAACTTGTCCATGGCCTCATCAAGATGTCGCTTTAACTTTAAGTTTTCTTTCCGCAAAGAGCAATTGTCACTCAGTACTTGGGCCAGCTGAAAAATCATACAATATAAGAAATAAGCCGGTTCTTTTAGAGTAAGGCAACTCCTTAAAAATAACCAGAAGTAAGGCAATGACGATACAATATTGAACAAATTATTCAACATCAGAAATTTCTTCCAACCAATAATTTATATTCTCACAAGTAATAACATATAAATTTCATTCCACACTTTTTTTCCAATTACAGACCTGCCAAGAAAAAAATCTGTAAGGGGGTGCCCGCAGGGGGGAAGTGGGACCGCTGCCTCAAGGGGGTGGCACCCCGTGGGGGGTGGGGGTTGGTTTAAGATCTATATACTAACTCACAAGCCTTTTTTAGTAAATAAAGAAATTTGAAGTTCCCTCCACTGTCTTTAAAGAATCCACAGAATACCATAGAGCATGAGAAAAACATTACTAGAAATGTTTATATACAGAACAGAATTTCCATTTTATTTACAAATGTACACAGGCTGCCAAGAGTTCAGTTTTCCAGCACATCCCTAGTGGCCTTTTTGCACTTGTCCAACAGCTCTTTAGACAACTGAAGGTTAGCAATGCAATTGATTTTAGTTACAACTTGTACAAACAAGTTAGGAGTATCACATTTCATTTCATGCTTGCCCTTGTTTCATTGTAATTTTTCTTCCCAATCTTCCAACAATCTGCTAGTCTGGAAACATTTCTTTGACTCTGGCATTTAAATGATCCAAGTTGGCTAGAGAAATATTCCCTTCAATAAGAAAGGTGGTAAATAAAACTTCCGATCTGATTACTGACACGTCCAATTCCTTAACAAAGAAATTAGACATGTATGTCGTAGATTCATAGCTTTTACTTTTAGCTGCATTCGTATGTTGTTATTTGGGGGGGAGATGTAAAATATGTTTATTAACATCACTGTACCCACAACTTTCAATAGATTTATCCATTTAATTAAGATAAGCTTTAACAACAAAAAAAGTAACAATGCAACTGAATTAATTGTTAGCCTATTAAAAGGATGAATCCCGATCGGATCAATTGATTAAAAAATTATTTGGAGATCGCGGTTCGCTTCGACAAAAACAAGACAGTGTCTATACGTCCGGCGACCTGATGAATAGTGCGGGAGATATTCATCCGGTGGATATGTCACGCTATATTTAACATTGCCACTTTTTAAACATTTATTCATTAAATATACCAGCAATGGTTCTAGTATTTCTTTTGTAGAATTGAACATTTTTCTTCTCATGTAAATGTCCGAACTATCTTGAATTTGTTGAAATGAAAACTCTGATCGACTTTACTACTATTAGTATTAGCGGTTATGTGACAAGGCTGACGGACAAATATCTTACGCAACTTTGTTACTGAGGTCATGTGACTAGGTCAAATATATAACAGCCAGAAAAATATATCGAGAACGTATTCGTCCAATCGCCGCACATGTAGACACTTCATAAAAATAAAGTAAGTGGCATCTTCAAAATGCACCACTTCCTGTGGTACCCGATTTTTTTTTTTTTTTTTGATTTTTTTTTGCTTTTTCTGAGTTTTATGACGGGTGAAAATTATAATGTTCGGAAAATCAGAACTTCAAGGGGTTTGTCAGAAGGTCGGAATGGGTGGTAAAAAATCTGTATAATTCCGACAAAATTGGAAGGGTTGGCAATTCTGCAATTAATCCATGTTTAAAATGTTACAATACAACAAGATTTTGCTTCAAAATTCTTGCAAATCTGATGATGATCACATAAATATTCTTAAATTGTATTTCTACCAAATCAGATAGTGAGAATGAATACTTTAATTCCTCCCAATGATATACAGCTAACCTCTTCTTTCAACTTCATCTTCTCTTGGTTGGATTTATCCATCTCTCTCATCTGACTATCAAATACTTGTACAGTTGATTTCTCTTTATCCTCCACCTCAGCAAGCTAACATAAAATAGAGAAAAAATTACAAAGTCACTTTTATAACTCACTTAATTATATAAATGGATTTCATCTCTCTAATATTAAAAATATTTTTTTTTAAATTATACAACTTTTGATATGTACAGCAGCAGCAAAAACAAGACATTTCTGTTAAGCACCTTTTGTGATAATTTGACAACTTTAGCTCTTTCCTCCCGTAGACTATGGTTTAATTTTTCCACATCGGCCATGTGTAGAGCCTTTATAGATTCAACCTGTTGCTTCATGGAACTCATTTTCTCAGATGCTGCTGATCTAAACAACAAAACAAAAAAAGATTGTATGTCATTTATTACTTGTAGCGACACACATTTGGTAATGAATGAGAGAAACCGGGGGCAGTTGGTGAACATGGCTTTACATACTAGCTCAGGACATCATTCAAAATAGCCAATAAATTAAAATATCCAAAGCTCTTACCTGGCCATGGTTATTGCTTGTATTTGTTGAGTTGCTCCCTCCAACTCGTCCTCTCTCTCATCAACAGCTCTCTCGTAGGTTTTCCTGTAACATAGATAGCATGTAAGTACAGCAAAATTAGTTTCTAATAATTCTAAAACACCAGAAGGAAATAAAAAAGTTTAAATATAATATTTGTCATTTCAAAAACATCTTGTTCCACACCTGGCTTATTCTATCCACTGAATATTGCCTTAAAAAGATCAAGAAAAATTTGGCTGTACTCACGTCTTTAGCCACCTCAAAGTGTAATTATAAAAATAAAAAGGGAACAAAACGATAAATAAAATATCTCTAAGTAAACACATTTTATTATTTGTCATTCAGCAGAAAATCTTTACTTTATCATTTCCCACTCTGCTTCTCTTTTTTTTGATTCTTCAATTATTTCCTCCATGTCTTTAATTTGATCTTCTAGTTCTGTACAAACTTTGGTCAGTTGTTCAACTTTCTGTGGAATAATACAAGACATTTTTTTTTTAAATAATGCATGTGTTGAAAGGGGTGTTATGAAAAATGTGAGCAAATTTTTCCAAAACTCTATAATAATATTAAATATGTGAACACATTTTCTCAAATATAAGTATGCATTGACACAAAGGGCCATCTGCATAATTTAATTCCTTAATAATTTGATTTTTATTTTAAATATGATCTACATAATTTTTCAAAGAGCCCCTTAATGTCAATGTGACAGTGATGCAGACACATCATTTGTTCAAACTTTACTTGAATCCACCAAACTTGAAAGCTTCTAATACACACTTCAGGTAGAATTAACAACAAACCTTGTGCTCCATCTCATACTGCTGTTGTTTGCTGCCTATCTGCTCCATAAGACGCACTGTCTCTGTGCTATTGGAACCTCTCTCTCTTTGCAAGCCGCCATGTTTGTCTTCCAACACCTAGTGTGTCAAAATTAAAACCGGATATTTTATTTCCTTATAACAATAGTGTATGCATTGATGTAAAATATGCTAAATTAATTATAAAATGTTAAATAGCAAAATTATATTGTTCCAAGGGAAACTTACAACTTGTCAAAGGTGAATTCTTATCCTTTGATAGTAATTATTTCCCTTTCAACCATTGGCCTTAAAGGAAAGTTACTAAACAATGTAAGAAAATAATATACCTTGTATTGTCTTTGTAATGTGTCATGTTGAGATTTCAGAGTTTTCAATTCAGCAATGGCATCTTGGTAATTCTGATGGCATAAAATGAGCCAATGGTAGGGCTAAAGTTCTGGCTGTATCTATCCATGTTTGACTTAGTCATTATCATAACAAACAAAAAAACTACTTTGCGGTAAGTAACTTGAAAAACGAATAAGTTGACAAAATTTTAAATGCCATTTTTTTAATCATTTTTATTCTTAGTACATGAATTAAAATTGTTAATTTTGTTAACAACATGTCCTTTATGTAACAGGCCAATTAAGAAACATGCTAATAACTAACCTGCAAATATCTTGCATTCTCAACAGCCTTATTATCAAGTATACGCTGAAGTTTATCAATTCTGTCTCTCAGTTCCAGCTCCTGACGCTTAGAAGCAGCAAGAAGGGATCTCGCTTCACTCAAGGACAGATTGGACTCTTCCAGTTCATGGCGTAGATAGCTTGGTATGTCACCACCAGAAACCTAAAAAAGGATATGGATAAAAATCTAAATTCAACACAATGTAAATTATGCTATAAATAACAATGACCAAATATACAAATATATTCCACAACAAAAAAAAATTATGTTAAATTTTGGTTATAAAAATTTTTTATATTTCAATGATGGTGCTAGTGCATCATTACTTGTAACTAAGATGATGTATATTACTTTCATTTACCACATTATTTCAATATGAAAAACATTCCTTTTAGGTGTATGCTATAAAAATATAAACCTATGAAAGAAGATAAAATCCCATTAAAATACCTCATTAGCTCCTTTCCTGATCTCCATCTCTCTCTTGGTCTCTTCCAGTTGTTGCTGCAAATCCTTGATTTGTGCCTCCAACTGATTGATCCCAACAGAGTTAGCATCACTCTGCATGAGAGAATTTACTTGACTCTGCACATTAACATGTGAAAATTAAGATGGCAGTGAATAATAAGCAATTTTAATAAGGATTTTTACTAAACATTTATGCTGCTAGCAATAAATCTTTCAATGCCAACAGTTATTGCAGTTGTGAATTAATGGAAAATTTGAATATCACCAATTTAATTGTAGTTGTTATCTATGTGGTATACTTATTTAAAATTTAAATTTACTTGTAAAACTTCATGATTCACCACAAAAAATACAGAAGCTAGATAATCAAGATAACATGAATTTTTAAATATGCTTTTTATTGAAAGCGAGTGACTTTAAGAAGGCTAGTTTGATTGACTAACAGTGACTTGTGGAAGTGTATGCATTAAAATTTAGTAGACTATGTGATAAAAACTGAACATCAATATTTTTTGAGAAATAAGAAATGGCTTAATTAAGACAACTTCTTACTTGTAGAGCTTCTTTCTCTCCCTTCAGCTCATTTATTTTCTTATCTAGTTGCAGCTTTTCTAACTTCAACTCTTCTGTATGTTTTGATGCCATCACATTCGATTTCTGAAAAATAATTTAACACATCTTTATTCAATATTACAGCTTCTTTTGCAAAGTGAAAAAAAAAGTTAATTTATACACAAAAAAAAAAAAAAAAGCAGGCAAGAAATGTAATGAAAAACTTCAAGGAATAAGGTATCAACCACCATCTGAGCTTTGAGCGATATCTAATTTTTTTCTTTAATGTTTTGATGCCATCACATTCGATTTCTAAAAAATAATTTAACACATCTTTATTCAATATTACAGCTTATTTTGCAAAGTGAAAAAAAAAGTTAATTTAAACACAAAAAAAAAAAAAAAAGCAGGCAAGAAATGTAATGAAAAACTTCAAGGAATAAGGTATCAACCACCATCTGAGCTTTGAGCGATATCTAATTTTTTTCTTTATCTTTTTATATTAATATGTTAGTTCCCTATCATTACAATCGGGGACAAAAAAGAAAGTGTTAGTGTTTTACCTGTAGTGCATCTCTCTCTGCTGTGAGTTCCTTTATTTTGACATCTTGCTGCATCTTTTCAAATTTCAGCTCTCCTGACTGTCTTGATGCAATCGCATTTGACCTCTGGAAATTCGACCTCTGAAACAAAAATCAATAGATTTATTCATAAATGACAGTCTTTTAAAATTTAACATGTCTGCATCAATTTGGCAATTCCCACACAGCCATTTTTGTTGGTCTACTATTTGGTATAAGTTACAGCACCAGAGCAAATACCCATTACCATAACCTCTCAGCTGTACTTCATGTTTATAAGAACATATCTTTTCTATTAAAAATATATACAGAGTAAAAAAAACTGTAGCCTAAAAAGTTTAGTAAGATTTTTTAATGCTAATAATTACAGTAGATATGACACAATATAATTTGAAAGCTCATCATAAGGCAAGTTGTAGTGGTGGAAAATGAGAAGATAAAAATCTATCTTTGAGTCAGACCTGATTAAAATGCTTTATCTAGAGCAAGGTCAACTGAAATCTTTACTAAGTAAATCAAAGTAATGGGTCTGGACAGGGAAAAGAACTAAGCTTAAATTATTGGAAACAATTCGGGGAAAAAAAAAAGCTCAAAGTAGCAATGCATTTCTAGAACTTAAGGTTTATCCATCAAAATTATTAAATATTGATAAAATTGCAAGATTATGTATATCACTTATTTACCACACTATTTCAATCTAAAAAACATTCATTTTTAGTGTATGCTATAAAAATATAAACCTATGAAAGAAGATAAAATCCCATTAAAATACCTCACGAGCCCCTTTCCTGGCCTCTTCCAGCTGTTGCTGCAAATCCTTAATTTGCGCTGCCAACTGACTGCTCTCAAATGAGTTTGCATTAGTCTTCATGAGAGAATTTACTTCACTCTGTACATAAACAAATATGTGTATACTAAGATGATATTGTGAATAATTAACAACTTTAATAAACATTTTTATTACACATTTATGGTGATTGCAATCAATCTTTCAATGCAAACAGTTATTAACCCTGTGAATTCATGGAAAATTTAAATATCAGCAATATAATTGTAATTGTTATCGATGTGATTTACTTATTTGAAATTTAAATTTACTTGTAAGACTTCCTGATTAACCACAAAAAATACAGAAGTTAGATAATCATAATAACATGAATTTTTAAATATGCTTTTCGTTGAAATTGAGTGACTTCAAGAAGGTTCCTTTGATTGACTAACAGTGACTTGTAGAAGTTGATGAGCTAAAATTTAGTAGACTATGTGATAAAAAACACAACATCAATATTTTTGGAGAAATAAAAATGGCTAAATTAAGAACAAGTTTCAACTTCTTACTTGAAGGGCTTCTTTCTCTCCCATCAGCTCATTTATTTTCTTATCTAGTTGCAGCTTTTCTAACAACAACTCTTTTGCATGTTTTGCTGCCACCACATTCGATTTCTGAAGAAAATCGTTTATCATCTTTATTCAGAATTACAGCTTCCTTTTGTATACAGCGCCCAAAAATTTTATTCAGGTTTTAAAATATAAAATTAGCTGCTTGGTTTTACTTCATAACTCTTTAAAAATATTTTTTTTAAAAAGCAGACAAGAAATATAATTGCAATCTTCAAGGAATAAGGTACCAACCCCCATTGGGGGAAGAAGTGGTAGCCAATTTATTCTTTATTTAGTTATTTGAGCATGATAGTTGACTATCATTACACTCAGGCTGGAAAGAAGAAAAAAAAGAGTTAATGTTTTACCTGTAGTGCATCTCTCTCTGTTGTGAGTTCTTTTATTTTGACATCTTGCTGCATCTTTTCAAACTTCAGCTCCCCTGACTGTCTTGTTGCAATCACATTAGACCTCTGGAACAAAAAAACAATAGATTTATTCACAAATGATGATCTTTTAATATTAATCCTGTCACACATCAATTTGGCATATCCAACACAGCTAATTTTGTGGCTCTGTCATATGGCATAAGTTACTTCAGTAGAGCAAATACCTATTCCTTTCCTATTAAAATTAGATTTAGTGTAAAATAACTGGCCAATAAGGCTGAATAATTTTTTTCTACGGCTAGTAAATACAGTTCACTACCAAAGGTGGCAACTTAGGCTGTTTTTAATCTCACAGGGCAACAAAATGGCAACAGGAAGCATTGAGAGTAAATTGGGAATTACAACCCTTCATAGGGCCGTACTGAGGTGCATTCATCTTCTGACTAATGATGTGTAAATCTCAGTGAATTCCTGACAGAACACAAAAAATACGCACCATCTCATTAAACCTTTTCACATTCACATCATAAACACTTTCCTTGGACCACCACAATTTCTCATGACCTGAATGTGTTTATTCCACCCTACACAATCTCAGCAACACCTCTATCATAAAACATTTTGTAACATCCTTCATAATTACCGACATCTTACCACCTATGACAAACAACATCTCATAACTAGAGTAAGGATAGGACATTAATGATTTCACACAATATTATTTGACAGCTCAATCACCCTTTAAGCTGTAGTGGTTTCAAAATTAGAAAATGGAAATCTATCTTTGAGTCATGCCTGATTAAGAATGTTTTATCTAGAGCAAGGTCAACTGAGATCCTTGCTAAATAAATCAAAGTATTGGACACGATACTGTCATTCTGGGAAGAGAACTAAGATGAAAGTAGCAATGCATTTTTAAAATTAAAATTTTATCCATTAAAATGATTAAGTATTAATAACATTGCTGAAACATCATTACTAGACTGATCATTTCATGTATAATGCTAAGAGACTTTTAAAATGACAAGAAAACAATATGGCTGTTAAAATTTAAAACCAATTCAATAGACTTGTATTTCATCAACGAAGAATGATGTATCATTGGAAATTAACACCTTTTCCATGATGAAGTTGTCATAATTTTAAATTTGGACAGATAAGAAAATAGCTCACCTTATCTCTCCAATCACATTCTTTTTTCGATTCATCCTCAGCTTTATTTTGCTCCCGGAGCTTGCCTAGGCTAGATTCTAGTCGATCCACTTCTTTGTTCAATTTCACAAGCTGCTCATCGCATATCATTTTATCATTCTTCAATGCTTCTAAAGCCTTCTCAACTGCGACTTTTTCTTTTAGCAAAGAAGCTTTCTGCTTTTCTAGGTTAATATTTTCTTTCTGAATTCTCTCCTTCTCTTTTTCCAACACCACTTTTTCTTCTTTAAGCTTCTCTATGGTCAATTTCTCCTTGGCACTACTCTGCTCCACCTCTTCCATCTCAGCTTTTAACTTGGCAACTTGAGTTTCAAGTCGAGCTTTCTCCTTCTCTGTCATATCCAGCATGGCAACCTTCACCTTCAGCTGGGCAACTTCCTCTGTGCTATCTGTGGACTTTTGACTTTGAATGGATTTTATCTTATTTTCCAGGTCTTTCTTTATGACAGTCAATGATTCGATGGTTATTCTGTCTTTTCTGAGGTCCATCTGAAGTTTCTCAAGCTTCTCTTCAAGATTTAGTTTCTCTTTCTCTACAGTATTCAACCTCTCAACCTGCAAGCACAGTTGGTTTCATATATAAATGACTTTTTAAAAACAAACTCTAAAAATTTGACCCAACTTTTAAAAAAAATAAACGTAGAGTTAACACAGCACACCTGTCTTAAAAAATAGTTATTGAAATAGTTTTACTTTTTTTTTGTGAACTACTATTTAAAGTTTGAAACATAATTAATTTTTTTAAATGTTGTGTCCCATAAACATTCTTCAATTGGTTTGTGGCTTTTTGCCCTTAAGTTTTGGCTAACACAATATATAGTGTAAACAATGTTTTTTAAATGTTTATTTATTCCCATGGCCAGATTTACCTACTAGTTAAGGCTGCAGTTAGGCAATACAAAGGAGCTTCAAAATTATATGTAATTTCAAGGGAAGGTGAGGAAAAGAGGGGGAGGGGGGGAGGACAGGATGACGACAAAATAAAGAGATTATAATATTTAAGTAAATAAAAATACCATAGAATTTTTTTTCCCTGGAAATGTTTTAATATTTAATAATAATGAATAAGTTCAGGTGGGATTTCAAGCCTTTAAGTATAATTTTAAAAAATGAATCAACTATTTTTAACTCGTTCTCTCCGGAATTAATTTCCGCATTCTGACAAATTATCTATTTTGCGTATTTGTTACGTCTAGGTACTACTGATTAAAGAGGAATGTATGCTCTTTGCAAAAAATACAGAATTGGGTTTAAATTTTATTATATAAATGTAATTATGATTCAAGGAAAATAAAAATTTTAATTTAGAAAACTTGCCAACTGTTCACAAAACATTCATTCCAAGTCACACAAAGAGAAATTTATAATCCCAAGTGTAACAAAAATGTGTTTTTTCTAAACTATATCCATATGTGCATCACAAATAATAAAGATCGACTTTAAAAAAATTAAAAAATTTAACACCAGAGAACATTATCCATTCTCACCATCACACAAAAAATTTCCAAAAAAACTATTTCCACTGGGAACTATCTGTTGCTATTAGAAAATATTTGCTCTGTAGTAGTTGGTAGTTGTTCGTCCGTCGAAGTTGACAAGGACCATCGAATCATCCGGTTAGGGGCGGGCGGGGGTGTTGGGATTACGGTGAGCTCTTAGGTAGCTTGTTAGACCGATCCTTGCTCGGAATAATCTATGACACCGTGGGCATGGAATAGTTGCTTCAGACGATGACCTAATGTTGCTCTTTCGGACAAGCCTGCGTGTCTCAGCTGTGGTTATTCTCTTAGCTTCATGGGATTTAGCCCCCTTCTTGACAGCAGCTCTCCATCTGGCTCTGTCCTGGGCTGTCTGCA